CTTGTACTCTTACATATATATATATATATATATATCTGCTCTTGCTTGTTTAACCTTATATATATGTGTACTCCTGCATGTGAACTGGCCTTGTGGCCTTGACCTTGTGCTCGGACTGTGTGGTGATGTTGTGATCCACCCTGAGCTTTGTCTGCTTTGCTGAACTGGTCTTGTGACCCCTTGTTCTCCCCCACTTTGCCTATGGGGGTGTGTCAAATTATAATATTGTGTAGGCTATAGTGGGGTTGCCCATATGGGGTACACATTTCTAGGGTTGCATATTTGTATCACTTCCATTCCTTAGTCATTCATTCTTTATAATTGTCTACAGTGTAGAGTGTAGCACATCCCAATTTGCTGTAGGTGGTGCACCATGCTTCTCCTTGCTATATTTTGCACTCATCTTTCTTAGCAAAGTCACTTCTTCCTGCTTCAACTCTCTTGACACCTCCTTCAACCCTAAAACCTAAGTTCTTAACCACTAAAGCTATGGCTCCTAAGCCTAGTTGTCATTCCTCTTTCTAACATGGTATCTAGAGCGAGCATGTTCCTGCCGCCTAGCTTAACGGGCCCACCAACTGCTTCTGTTGCCGTACCTATCCGTGCCGCGCCCCGTGGTGCGCGGCGCTACATTTTTCTTCCCGCCACGCGCTCCGAGCGCATGGCGGCTTTTTCTGCCCGCCCGCGCTCGGGGCGCGTGGCGGTTTCACCGTCCGTCAAGGCGCCCTCAGGGGGGCCTTCGCGCTGCCCCCCTCCGTCGCCCGTCGCGGTGGCCGTGGGGCCCGCTCGCTGCTCCCCCCGTCGCCCGTCACGGCACCTTCAAGGGGCCCGCCCGCTGCTCCCCCCCCCCCCCCCCCCCCCCCGTCGCCGACCCTGCAGTAGCGTGGGACCTGCCCGTGCAGCAGCTCGCGACGCCACCCCTGCAGCAGCGCGCGACCCGCCCCTGCAGCAGCGCGCAAGCCGCTCCTGAACCAGCAGCAGCTCGCGACGCCGCCCCTGCAGCAGCGCGCGACCCGCCTCTGCACCGGCAACAGCTGCCCCTGGCCCCTGGAGCAGCCGCCCCTGCAGCAGCCGCCCCTGGCCCCTGGAGCAGCCGCCCCTGCAGCAGCTGCCCCTGGCCCCTGGAGCAGCCGCCCTTGGCCCCTGGAGCAGCCGCACCTGCAGCCGCCCCTGGCCCCTGGAGCAGCCGCCCCTGGCCACTGGAGCAGCCGCCATTGCAGGAGCCGCCCCTGGCCCCTAGAGCAGCCGCCCCTGGAGCAGCCGCCCCTGCAGCAGCCACCCCTGGCCCCTGGAGCAGTTGCCACTGCAGCAGCCACCCCTGGCCCCTGGAGCAGCCGCCCCTGCAGCAGCCGCCCCTGGCCCCTGGAGCAGCCGCCCCTACAACTGCCGACCTTGCAGCTGCCCGCGACGCCGCTCCTGGACCCTGTGCAGCCGTGGGGGGAGGGTATGGGGGTGGCGGGTGTGGGGGTGATGAGTGTGGGTGCTACCCTTCCCCTCCTCCTCCTTCTTCGTCTCCCACTGCTGCAGCTGCCGCTGAAGGGGGGTGGATGTGTGGGAGCCGAGGGGAGTGGAGCTAAGGGGGTGTCGTGGGAGTGGAGAGAGGGGTGCAGCAAGGGGGTGTGTGAGAAGGGGGTGTGGGACTGTTAGGGGAGGTAGAGCAGAGGTCGCCGTCGTGTCGTCAGCAGCGCCAGTAGTCCGGAGCCCTCGTGCTCTCTGTAGCCCAGCGAGCCTGCTTCGCCAGTCGCCTGTGGGTCCGTTGCTCCTGCCGCTCGTCGTAGCCGCGGAGCCAGATACTCCCGTAGTCCGGTGCCCTCGTGCGCTCGGTAGCCACTGTGCGCGCCGCTCCTGTTGCCCGTGTGACTGCGGCTTCACCTGTCGCCTCCTATCTCCACTCCTCTCACAGTCCCTCCTCCTCCTCCTCACTTCGCCTCTTCTTCTGTTGCGCCATGCAGAGTGTACCACTTCAAGGGGTAATCTGTACATGGTTCTCACTGCAATCAATTAGGGGGTGTGTTGAACTATATTTATATGTGTTCTTTATAATTGTCTGCAGTGTAGAGTGTAGCACATCCCAATTTGCTGTAGGTGGTGCACCATGCTTCTCCTTGCTATATTTTGTACTCATCTTTCTTAGCAAAGTCACTTCTTCCTGCTTCAACTCTCTCGACACCTCCTTCAACCCTAAAACCTAAGTTCTTAACCACTAAAGCTATGGCTCCTAAGCCAAGCTGTCATTAGTCATTCTGACATATGATACCGACACCCACCCGCACATGTGTTTGAGGCGACTCAAATGGCAAACACGGTACGTCATTCCCGCGTATTGAGGTATGCGGTGGTGTCTGTGGCCCATCGCTTGAGCGAGGAGCGCGGGTGGTTGAGCTGCCAGCGGTGGTTGTTTATGTCCTACTCGACTCGCGCCTGGGGATGGAGCCTGCCACAAACACGTGCGCATGCACACACACGAGCTTGCCCACAATCGCCACGATGCTTGCACGTGGTAGGTGCGAGTGGAGGAAGTGCGATAATAAACACTCATCCTGAGTGCAACGAATGCAGGGAACCCGTGTGCGTGCGCGCACACCAGTTTATCTACTATTGCCACGATGCCTGTGAGTGGTGAGGGGGAGAGGTGGACAAGGAAGAGTGCAGGGAGGAGAGGGCAGTAGAAAGGGTGCGAGCAATACGGGGAACACTTGTGCGTGCACACACACCAACCCGTCACCAGTGCCCGTCCATCACCACTGCACACCACCCCGCACTGCTCCCCACCACTCTACACTCACCGGTATCGTACTGGTTGACCTCTGGAAGCACCTTGTCCACCATCAGAGCCCCCCCACGTGCTCTTGCAGCCACCACAATTTGCTCCTCGCCCTCACACACCCGCCAATACATCACCAGTCAGCACCGCTCTGCACCGCTCAGCACCATTCCGCACCGCTCGACATTCTCTGGGATCGTACTGGTTGACCACTGGGAGCACCTGGTCCACCATCACAGTCCCTTGCATGCTCTCCCTCAGCCACCACATGTTGAAATATATTTCTTATATAAACTGCTTGTAGCAATAGTTAGTGTAGTGTTACATTGTTTGGTGGTGCACTTTGCTTGCTTTGCCTATATCCTTGTACCTTCTCTCCTTGTTGAACACTTTTATCCTTTGCAATTCTCTCGACACTTCCCTCAACCCTAAAACCTAAGCCACTAAGCTACCATAGCCATGGCTCGTAAGTCTTGCTGTCCTTAGTATCTTGACATGGTTTCAGAGTTGTTACGCTCTTGGCCTGTGGGCCCCACATGCTTCCGCTGCTTTCCTGTCTGTCGCGCGCCCCGTGGCGCGCGACGCTTTTTTCTTCCCGCCACGCGCTCGGGGCGCGTGGCGGTTTTCTGCCCGCAGTGCCCCCCGAGGCGCGTGACAGCTTCCTGCTTCACGTGCCACCCCGGGGACCCGCGTGTCCCCCCTTGTCAACGGTCGCGTCGCCCCCCGGGAGCCCGTCGCGTCGCCCCGCAACCCCCGCTACCTCGTTGCGTCGCCTTTGCGGGACCCGCGCGACGTCGCCCTTGCTCGTCGCGGCGCCCCCTGGATGCCGCCCCTGCTCGTCACGGCGCCCCTGGGGCGCCGCCCCTGCTCGTCGCGGCGCCCCCTGGGCGCCGTCCCTGCTCGTCGCGGCGCAGCCCCCCCTGGCCGCCGCCTCTGCCTCACCTGCGCCCGCGCCTGCTTTGCAGCAGCGCGCGGGCCTGCCCTGCACCAGCGACGCCGCCCCTGCAGCAGCCTCCCCTAGCCCCTGGAGCAGCCGCCCCTGCAGCAGCCGCCACTGCAGCAGCCTCCCCTAGCCCCTGGAGCAGCCGCCCCTGCAGCAGCCGCCCCTGGCCCCTGGAGCAGCCGCCACTGCAACAGCCGCCCCTGGCCCCTGGAGCAGCCGCCCCTGGAGCAGCCGCCCCTGCAGCAGCTGCCACTGCAGCAGCCGCCCCTGGCCCCTGGAGCAGCCGCACCTGCAGCCGCCCCTGGCCCTTGGAGCAGCCGCCCCTGCAGCAGCCACCCCTGGCCCCTGGAGCAGCCGCCACTGCAGCAGCCGCCCCTGGCCTCTGGAGCAGCCGCACCTGCAGCCGCCCCTGGCCCCTGGAGCAGCCGCCCCTGCAGCAGCCGCCCCTGGCCCCTGGAGCAGCCGCCCTTGGCCCCTGGAGCAGCCGCCACTGCAGCGCCGCTCCTGGACCCTGTGCAACCGGGGGGGGAGGGTATGGGGGTGGCGGGTGTGGGGGTGATGAGTGTGGGTGCTACCGTTCCCCTCCTCCTCCTCCTTCTTCGTCTCCCACTGCTGCAGATGCCGCTGAAGGGGGGTGGATGTGTGGGAGCCGAGGGGAGTGGAGCTAAGGGGGTGTCGTGAGAGTGGAGACAGGGGTGCAGCAAAGGGGTGTATGAGAAGGGGGTGTGGGACTGTTAGGGGAGGTAGAGCGGAGGTCGCCATCGTGTCGTCAGCAGTGCCAGTAGTCCGGAGCCCTCGTGCTCTCGGTAGCCCAGCAAGCCTGCTTCGCCAGTCGCCTGTGGGTCCATTGCTCCTGCCGCTCGTCGTAGCCGCGGAGCCAGATACTCCCGTAGTCCGGTGCCCTCGTGCGCTCGGTAGCCACTGTGCGCGCCGCTCCTGTTGCCCGTGTGACTGCGGCTTCACCTGTCGCCTCCTATCTCCACCCCTGTCACAGTCCCTCCTTCTCCTCACTTCCCCTCTCCTTCTGCTGCGCTTGGTGTATCCCTTCAGGGGGTGTCTCTGCATTGGCTTCCTGCTGCAAGCAGTTTAGGGGGTGTGTTGAAATATATTTCTTATATAAACTGCTTGTAGCGATAGTTAGTGTAGTGTTACATTGTTTGGTGGTGCACCTTGCTTGCTTTGCCTAGATCCTTGTACCTTCTCTCTTTATTGAACACTTTTCTCCTATGCAATTCTCTCGACACCTCCCTCAACCCTAAAACCTAAGCCACTAAGCTACCATAGCCATGGCTCCTAAGTCTTGCTGTCCTTAGTATCTTGACACCACAGGCTGTCCCGCGGTGCCGCCCTCACCCGCCCCCCCTCCCCAAAGCTCCACGTTGTCTCCGCCCACAAGTCCGACCGCACCACCTCCTGCTCTCCCCTTTCCCCTTGCTCCCCTCCCACAGGCTCGCCTCCCCCAGGTTTGCCTCCCCCTTGCTTGGCTCCCGCCTGTTCACTGCCTGCCTGTGGTGTGGCCGGGCGGGCAGTGAAGGGCACGTCAGCAGCAATGAAGACAGCGGTGGTGTGCGGCTCCTGCTGCACCTGTTGTATGAGTTCCCGCGCTGCACGCATGCACCCCGTCATCATCCCTCCACCATGCTCGCATTGGCCCGCCTGCCGTCCCTCTTTAGCCTCTGCGCCTGTGAGGGGGAGATGGAGGGGAGGGTGAGAGGAGAAGATGAGGAGAGGAGAAGAGGAGAAGAGGAGGAGAGGAGAGGACGGTAGGGGAAGAGAGTGGAGGGTGGAGGAGGAGAGGAGGGAAGAGAGAAGAGGAGGATAAGGCGGTATATGCGTGGTGGCATTCATGACATGGCATGGCAGTCACAGCGCAAGTGCACTGCAACGAGGGGGCGGGGGCAGGCGGGGAGAAAGGGAGTGTGCATTGCGGGTTGTGCAGGCCAGAAACGTGCACTCGCACTTGCACTGATCAAAGTGTGACTTGGCCCTCACCAGTCGGAAGGCGATAAATTCTGAGAGGAAGTGAACAGCAATGAAGCTCGGGGGCAGGCGGGCCATGAGGGCTCGAGCCATGGCGTGCCATGGCCGGCTGCAGGGCAGCATGTGGAACGATATGAGGTCCGTGTGAGGCTCGACCCCTACCCTCTCCCATGTGTCCTTCACCCACACAACCACTTGCTTGTGCCGCCTGCATGCATGGGAACAAGGGAGCAAGGGAGAAAGGGAGCATAGAAGCACGGGGGCAAAGGACATGGCTTGGTTGACACCTACCCTCTCCCGTGTGTCCTTCACCCATACCACCACATGCATGGGAGCATGGGATTGCAGGGTCAGCTTGGCAGGTCACACACGCACCATGCATGCAACAAGGCATGGACACCCATCAAAACAGCTGTCCCCATGCATGAATGCAACAAGGCATGTCCACTGGTTGCATGCATGATGGCATCCACCATGTTGCCCCTTGTTTGTATGCACGTGCCCCCGTTGCCCTACACAATAGCACGGCGTGTCCATGCAAGCGGGCGAGCACGGAGTCAGTGGCAGCCGGCATGGTGGCGTTCACTGTGTTGCCTCTGGTAGGTACGTGCTCCACGCCATACGCCGCCAGCTTGCCCAGCATTGCCGCCACTGGCTCTGCCAGGAGGGAAGAAAGAGAGGAGGGAAGGCAGAGAGTGGAGGGAAGGCAGAGAGTGGAGGGAAGGTAGAGAGTGGAGGGAAGGAAGAGAGTTGAGGGAAGGCAGCGAGTGGAGGGAAGGCAGAGAGTGGAGGCGAACAAAAGAGAGGAGGAGACAGAAAGAAGGTGAGGGGAAAGAGGAAGAAGGCGAGGGGAAAGAGGAAGAAGGGCATGAGGGAGCGAAGGCGCGTGCCCCATGCCGTGCACAGCCCAGTAGTGCTGCCACAGGCTCTGCACACGGCATGACACGGAGGGGTAACCTTGCTTGCATGGCTGTCTTGGGGAAGGCGATAGGCGGAGCGAGAGCGGGAGGGCGAAAGGGAGAGACGTTCTAGTAGGTGGTATGCGGATTCACCGCTGCCGTGTTGAACGGCATGTGGGTTGGTTCAGCATGCCTCAGGCCACGTGGCACCCGCTTTTGTGGCCACGTGACGCTAGCGGTAGCCTTTCCCCTGAAGACTCTCCTCCCGACTCACTACTGCACCGTTGAAGGGCATGTGCGGCTTTGAGACGCCTCAAAACTAGGTGTCTCCATTCTCTGACTCCAGTGGTAAGAACTTCCCCTGATGATCCCCACCCCGGCTGACTCACCACTGCCTTGTTAAACGGCACGTGGGGCACAGGCCCTGTGTGATCCAGATCGCAGCTGTGTGCCGCTGCTGCTGCCACCGCTGTTGTCACTGCCGCTGATTCTAGTGCTGCTGGAGACATCAGCCTCCTTGCGCTTCTCTCCGCCTTGCCTCCGCCGCCCATTGCTGCAACGCGCTCCGCAGCTGCGCCCGGCACGTACCCTCTATAAGCCTCTTCGGGGCGTGCAGCTTTGAGCCGTACACGAGCGCGCCCATCATGGCCTTCAAGCACGCATCTCTGAAGTTTAGCCCGGCCACTGGACGACGCTCAGGACTCGACGCAAACGTCACCGTGCTATAACCATTAACAGCCGGCACAGCTGTCTTTCCAAAGTAATTCCGGGAACTTTACGCCCGAATGTCCGGGATTAATAAGGTATTTTGCCAATGTTTCCAGTGGTTCCAGTGGATCGAAAAGGAGGTGATCATGCAATGGTTGGCTTGTTAGCACGAAGGCTATCCGAAGGAGGACGAGCAGAGCAAACAATCCACCAAGCTTCGCCATAGCGCGCCGAAAATTAGCACTCGTGAAAGAGAGAGGTGAGGCGAGAGAGAAATCATGGTGGTGCTCTTGAGCTGGTCTGCTGTCGTACAGATCGCGTGGCTTCCTTCTGTCGGCAGTGAAAATGGTCGTAAATCTTAGTCATTGGCTTTGATGGCTTGAATCGCACGTGTCCAGTTTTTGCTGGCTGATCATCGCATCATCGACGGCAGAGAGGGATGTTAGGAAAATGATAAGCTAAATAGAGCGCATGTAGAATGTGATATTCGGCGATATGTGTGTGGTTCGACTATATTCAAGGTCCTAAACTGCCTTTGGGTAAGTTGCTGAGTGTGGTCCCTAATGCCAATGGAGAAGTCGGAGGTCTTTGTGAACGCGAGGAAGCTTATCGATTCCGCCATCCGCAATCACGGTCGAATAAGCATATTACGTGTCACACATAGAAAGTGCCAGTATTAACCGTTTCCTATCATCAATGATACAAGCTGACGAAGGAACTGCAGAAACACACTCAGCAGTCGTAAGAGAGCACAAGCCAGCAAGATATAAGAAGTTCGCCATCGTATGGAGTTGTGCGATTCAGTAAGGACGTGGGCCCAATCGAGTTTGATCGCCTCGATCAGAAGCGATCGACAACTTCGAGGAAGCCTGGAAGCCAATTTCAGGCAATCGGGGGCAATTAGCTAATCGCCCCAACTCAATCAGACCCGATTTCCACCCCAATCAAACTCGATTTTTCTCAATCACCCTCGATCAGTTGATTGCATGTGATGGAGGGCCATAACTCGATGGTTGCTTGCCATGTGATGTTACACTGTTGAACTGAGTCTTGCCATAGCACATGGCGAGAACTCTCCAGGGGTTGACGATATTAGAGGGAAACAAATTCGTTCACCAGGTGAATTTTGGTCGCCAATCTCTGCGTTTGCCGAGCAGCTTCAAAACTTCTACGAAAAACATCGCTGATCGGGCGTTTCGAGCAAAGTGATCACCAACAATCCGATCAGATTAGATCAGATCAGAGCCGATCAGACCCGATTGGTTCCACGTCCTAAGGACGTGGGCCCAATCTAATTGGATAGGATCGGATTGAATCGGTTTGGATTGGTTCAGATTGCTTGCGCCGCTCGATCAAAGCCGATTTTCTTCGAAAACGCTCTGACCCAGACGAGCCCACTAATCACAGGACTATTCACCCACGGGTACCAAACGGATCCATTCTGCACAAGAGGAAATTCGCAGCAATTCGCAGCAGCAAAAGGAGTTTATTACGTAAAAGCTGGCACCGACCGCATCTGGGTACCAGGGTATTCACTACTACGGGAATTACTGTTACAGGAAGCACACGACGGAGTAACCTTGGGACATTTCGGGGTAGAGAAAACACGGCAGCAGCTGATCGGTATTATTACTGGCCCGAAATGTTGACTGACGTACAGCGACACGTGGCATCCTGTCCCACTTGCTAGCTCATGAAATCATCACGGAAGCGGCCGGCAAGGCAGTTACAACCGATACCACCCCCAGAGCGTGCTTGGCAGCAGGTGACAATGGACTTCGTCACGGGGTTACCGGCCGGAGCGAGTGGGAATGACGCAATCCTGGTCGTCGTCGATTGCTTGACGAAAATGGCACATTTTGCAGTCTGCAAGAAATCGATCACAGCCGAAGAAACAGCCCGCCTCTTCATCTCCACCATCGTTCGACTGCACGGGATACCAGCAGCGATCATCAGCGACCGCGATACGAAATTCACCAGCAACTTATGGCGGAACCTATGGCAGTAGTTCGGCACGCGTCTACAGCTCAGTTTTTCATACCATCCCGAGACAGACGGACAGACAGAACGGACAAACCAGACCATGGAGCAGCTCATCCGAGCCACGTGCGACGACCCAAGCACGTGGGAACAGCAACTGCCACTCATCGAGTTCGCGTACAACAACTCGCCATCCGCCATGACCCAACAGTCACCATTTTACCTGAACTACGGACAAGACCCCACAGTACCCATGACCCTGAATCCCGACAACCCGGTGCCACGAGCGCAACAATTCGCCGAAATTTTACTAACAGCACGGACTCGAGCAGCAGACGCATTTAAAAAATCGAACATCATCGCTAAACGAAACGCCGACCGACACCGCCGACCTGTTACTTACCAGCCCGACGACCTAGTTTTGCTCGACACCCAGAACCTCCGCCTGCCTATTCCCCCAAAACTCCGCCCCAGATATTGCGGGCCATTCCACATCAGCCACATGATCATACCCGTCACTGCCCACCTACTCCTCCCTGCTTACTGGTACGTCAGCCCGTCCTTCCACGTCAGCCTGCTTCACCCTTATGTGCCATCCACAAGCCAACTGCCTCGCAACCGCCCAGCCAGCATGACACGACCACCCACCGAACCCATCATCTCACCCGAAAAGATTTTGAGCCACCGAGTTCGTGACCCACGGGGAGCTCGTAGGATCGAAATTCTGATCCGGTGGAAAGACCGCACGCCCACGGAGGACAACTGGGTCCCCCTGGATAGAATTGAAAGTCACCCTATCCTCACCGAGTACCTGCGCAGCCGAAACTTCAGGGATGTACACGCGCTTTCGTAAGGAGGTCCTCCTTAAGGGGGGGGGGGGGTAGTGTAAGGAAAATTCATTTTCCTTACTTCGCGCCCTGCTCAGCGCGTACATCACTGTAGCACCACAGTCAGCACCGTTACCACTCGCAACCCTTGCTTCGACAATCCTCCCGCCACCTTCGCACGCCGCACCCCGACCTCACGGCTCGGCGTGTAACCCGCGCTCCGAGCCTCCGCCTCGACATTTCCCAACCACAGTCCCAACCTTAGTTCTAGGCCCGTCGCGTGTCACCCACAGCTCGTTACCGTTACCACTGTGGTCCTCGCTATTTAGTTATCGCTCAATCCTTCGCTCATTGTACTGTTTTGATTCGATAGTGCAATTCTAGCCCGCTCGCTCAATTGCACTCGTAACACCAAGCCGGACTGAATGCCGTCTGTCTGACACTCATCGCTTATTGCACATGCCTCCCGTTATATGTGCAGACAAGAATTCACCGAGTAGTGTCTCAATCGCACGGCTTCCTTGAGTCGTTACTGTCAGCCAGTCGCGTTCAGCGCGTGAGTGGTTCCCGCGTGTGACGAATTTCTTAAAGCTCGCGCCCCAAATTGCGGGCCGCGCTGGGCAACCTTAGGGTGCGTTCCTGGTTCGTGGCAGGGCAACTGTAGATGGCAGCCGTGTTTTGCGCCTGCCACGTACTGCATATCACACCAAGTTGATGGCAGAATTCACCCGCCAACCATCTGCACGCTGATTGGCTGCGCGAAAATTTGGCACAGTGGCCCAACTCCCAACACCACATCGCCCGCCAAACAATACGTGGGGTACATCTCCACCTTGGTCGCACGTACAAGACAGAGGGTTGGTTTGGCCGGTAAAATTCCCGGCGCCAAACCCACGAAATTGTAAATCCATCTCCCGCGCCGCCAGTCCAGATCTGGTTTAGCACCATCCCCTTCATCGCCGTGATGCTGTGGAAACGAAAACTATAGCACAACTCACGCGTCACACAACCCCAACTCCACCCGTTCAACACGCAAGCATAGTCCCATAGCTAGCACACACCATGCCACCACGGAAACAGAAACCGAGCAGAAAGGGGAAGGAACAGGCCGACGATGACAAGCCCTGGGAGGATCCACCATACGTTAGTGGATGAAAGAAGAGCAGGAGCGTGGTAGAAACCGAGGGAAAATCAAGCACGAACACGCTCCTCGGCGCGACGGAGCAGGACCTAGCTCATCGCGGGCTGACGGCGCCGACAGCTCGGACGGAGGGGACACTGACATCTCGTCCGACGAACTGGAAGAGATTGTGTCGTCGAGCGGCAGCGATAGCGACAGCGACAACTCCAAAGCCGCTTCAAAAAGCGACGAAGACGAGTCGGCGTCGGACCCGGATGCCTCGGAGGCCGGACCTAGTAATAGCAAGCGGAAGCGCAATTCCAAGACTAAGCGCGCTTGGACCGACGAAGAGCTCACGGCATTGGCTGCGGCCAAATGGTACACCCGCGAAGATCTGAAGCAGATGCGGGGTAAGCAGGGCAACCAGTATTGGAAGAAGTTGCGCGCGCACATGAAAAAAAGCGGCACCAAGTGGAGGCGCAACAGCACTGCCATGCAACACGCTTGGAAACGCATGGAGGCGGAGTACCGTGACACTCTGCGCAACAACGGGACAAGCGGGCGGAAACTGAAGAGAAAGAAGCCCTGGTTTGAGTACGTATACCTGCTCAAACGCATCCCTGCAACTGTCAAGCCTCACGTCGTCGAAGGCGGAGGCGCTGGTGAAAGCCACGTCGACCCGCAAGCCCCGCTCCAGCTCGACGCCGATATGCCCGAGGGGGGTACCACAACCCCCGTGCCCCGTGGTCGGCAACGACGCATGCCTCGTCGCGCGGCCGCCATTGAAGGTAACAGTTGTTCATGAAGCCCCATTCGTCATATACGACAGGGTGTCTATTGGCTCTTCCAAGGCACACGTGGTATGTTCATTTTTTGCAAAGCATCACTTGTGGTATGTGCAGACGTTTGTTAGGGATTCAAAGATGCGTGATCTGCAAAATCCCGGGCATGTCAATGCAGCAACAAGATACGTACAACATTCAATTACATCAAATGTCTACCTCCCGGCCCTGCCCCCCCTTTCCAGCCACGCCCAGCCCCGTACCGGCACGGCGTTCACGCGTGAACGAGACCGCGAGCATGGCGGCCGCCAATGTGATTTCCGACACCCTGAATGCGTGCAACGGGCAAGCCATGAGGCAGCTGAGCGAGGCAACGCAGCTGCTCATCGCCGCAATACACATGGCGGCGGGGATGTGGCGACCCCCTCCAGCACCGCCCCTACAGGCGACGGTACCTGCACCTGCACAACCACCTGCCATCGCCAACGACGCGGGCAACGAGGTGAATGCGGCCTTGGTTGACAGGGAGCTGGCAGATGCGCCAGAAGAAGATGAAGGGGCGTCGCCGGATGACATGCAGTCTCGCTAGCCGACGGCGCGGTCATTGCGCCAGGGGCGGTGCCTCCTGCGGTAAGCTCTATGCATGTGTTTGCCGAAATGCTTACGGCGCGCACGATAACCTGCCTGGGTTTCAGAACCAGCCGGCTGCCACCTGTATGCAAGCATGCCGCTCCGGTGGTACCACGGCGGGCCGATGCCTGTCACCTCCCTCCAGCTGTTTGTGTCTTCTGTCATCCTCCGTGGCTGGTCATGGTGCAGGATCATGTTGTGCAATATGATAATGAAGGCGGTTCCGGCGCAGACGCGGGTCAGCTTGCATTCGTGTCGCTTGCTGAAGAGTCGCCACCTCTGTTTGAGTGCGCCGAATGTCCGCTCAACGACCATGCGGGTTGCGGAGTGGACGTAGTTGTACGTCTGCTCCCAGCTTTTCATGAGGCATCTGCGCGAGGCGTTGACTGGTGTGAGGCAGTAGTCGCGGAGCGGGTATGCTGCATCGCCGACAATCTGGAAAGGCGCAATGTCACCTCGCTCGAGTCGTGTGTGCAGGTCAGAGTGCTGGAAGACGCCCTGGTCGTGCATGGAGCCAGGATGCCCTACAACATAGTCCCAGATGTAGCCTTTGCTGTCACATGTAACTTGTAGCTGCGTGGAATAGACGCCTTTGCGGTTGTAATACTCGTGCCGGTGATTCTCCAATCCCTTGATCTCGATGTGTGTGCCGTCAATAGCGCCTATGACGTTTGGCAGCCCCCTAACCGCTTTAAACTCAGCAGCCATGTCCTCCATCTCGTCATGTGTTGGGAAGCGCACCCACGTCCGTTTGAACCGCCGTGGGAAATGCAAGAGAAAAGCATCGACAATCTTGTGCAGGATAGACTTAGGAATGCCGAAGTAAATAGCCATGTCTATGTACGGCATTGCAGAGGCGAAATACTTGATCGGAATCAAGCAGCACATCTCCACCGGGATGCCGTAACGATCCACGCAAAGGCTCATAGGCTGAGCCATCGCGGGAGTAATCTCCGCCAACACCTCTCGCGATATGCGGAACATGTTGATGAAGTCGTCGTCGTCCATCACCTGCAGGTCGTCCATCCATTCCGAGATACGGCGGGAACGGCGCGCTTTGCGTGCACGCTGGAGGCGATCGCGATTTGCGCGCTGCGCGGAGTCCGATTCTGCAGCGACGCCCTGCATGGTGATCCACTGCACACCCGCGCTAACGGCCAGGAGGTGGAAGTGCTGTCTATAGAAATCGAACAAGACAGCTAGGGCTAACACGAGGAGAAGACCCAGCCTTTGCGGCATGGCTAGATCCTTTACCAGGTGTGGTTGTGTGCTTCTCGCCAGTGCTCTATAACCGTGACTGCACCGACGCATGCTTGAGTTTACAGTTTGTGGTATTTGGTTTGCAGGAGGGAGTTGTAGTCAAGTCATGGATGGCTGCTAGTTTACAAGTTTCGTTTGATTGCGTCTCGGCCAATGCAATGGCTGGTTGGTTCATGAGTCGTGACTTCTCATGCAGCCGGTTGACCGCTTGGTGCTCTGTATTTGCGTTGTTGTGATTGGTTCGGATGTTTCGCGTGTATGTGTCGCACAATGTTTTTTGAGCTGCCACCAACATCGAGGCGCGCGCGCTTCGGTCCCAAAGTTGGTGGCAAGCGCACACCACGCTTGCCACCAACAGTAGCATGAACAGTGCTCCTGCCACGAACCAGGAACGCACCCTTAGTAAGGTTGATTGATTGTTGTTTTGCAGGTGCTGGTTTTGCGAGTTGAGGTTACGGGTTGTACGAAGGAAGTTGATTGGCTAGTTAATTTGAAACACTGAGCTGATTGGCTAGCAAAATTGAAACAGTGTTTGCTGAGGGGGTTGGGTGGGAAACTGGCAAGGATAGTATTTGTGCAATATGGGACTCATGCAACCAAACGCGAAGTGGCCCCTGGGGTCTACTAAGTCAGCGAAATGTGTTTGAGATTGGCGAGAAGTTGGGCGAAACCAAAGCCCTCAACCCACCCAACACCTCGACTAGCCAACCCTGCTCCCTCACCTCTCAACATGCATCGACTGGAGGATTACGTACAGCACCTTGCCGGGAAGGATATCGCGTCATGATTGACAAATCAGCATCAAAGAGTATGACAAGGCCGCCATGGCTGCCTGACACTTGCCTGACAAGCACATTGCGTGAAGCCTGGCCACCTGATGGCTTTAATTTCACCAGCATTGAATCCGTTACATCCTTACGAAGCAGCCTATATATTTTTTATGTTCATCAGGCGAACATTATATCGAATGCTCTAGGGAGTATCTCACTGGTGCAAGCGACTAAGCCCAAGGTCTGCGCGGGCTTCTCTAGGTGCTCTGCTGGCACTCTGGAACAACTACCAAGGGCTAACATTACTGGTGGTTTGGATTACGTCTATGGACGCGATCCTGAGGTTCTATCCTCGGTTTCACAACACCAGAGTTACGAGCACTGGTCAGCTGTCTACGCTAACAATGGCAATGGCAGGCTATATGTCAGTTCTGTGCTCAGACCACCGGCATATTCTCTTCATCAGCTCGTCAGCTCTGTGTTTTTGCCGTTTTTGGTTCATCATTGCACAATGCCGCCGAAAGGGTCACGCGCTAAGACCGCCGTCGAAGTGCCGCCGTCTGAAACCACTTTGGGTGGGCCTGATGCTGCATCCAAGCAAACGACAACCGGCAAGTCAGACATTGAGAAGAATCTGCCATCTGAAGCTGAAGTCATTGCGGGTAGCTCGGGATTATCCATTGAGGATAAGCTGAAGGCGTTGGCTACGGTCGTACCTGATGACACCTTCATTGAGGACGACTCTGACGAAGAGCTGGAAATTGATCATGAGAAAGGATCGGCATCGCATCTTCGGTCCACGGCGATACTGCTCTTCCCGGTCATTCCGTCTCATGAGATTGCCTCTGTTATTATTACCGTCAGGATGCTGATGAAGCGTGTTTGGTCGCATATCTTTACTGACGGTGTTCTTACCACAGTGAAGTTTCAGGAGCTGTTGCCTGCATATGTCGCGAAGTCACGTTACAGCAGACTCCAGGTCTCCTTCCTGCACGAAGCAGATGCGAACAATGTCAAGCAGATGAGTGTGGACCACAAGCGACCGAATGGCTTGACTATTCACTGCTTCTGGCTTCACCAGGAAGATCCGGCTTACGTTCGTACAAAGGCGGCTAACCCGCAGATGCTGGAAGTTTACTTTAAGGGTGTACCTGCTGACATTCCGCCGGAACTGGTCAAGGATGTGATGGCTGTCCACCAGCTGAAAGTTCGCAAGCGGTCCGCGTTCAGCGAGGGTCACTGCTTCCACCGCGTGCTGCATCCGGTCACGGGCGCTGACACTGATAAGATCAAGGGCTTGGTGATCCCGCACGCGGGGGACAAGCATCGCTGGCGACACGAGTTTCGTCATCAGCTGCTCGGCGGGACGACGCTGCTGGCCCACTACCCTTTGCTATCTTGCACGCTCTGTGGCGGACATCACTATGACAAGTTTCATGATGTCTATGTCACGGAGCGTCGGAATAACATAGGGAAGTGGAGTCTCACAGTGGGTCAGGTACACAGGATTAACGGTAACAGCCTCTTACAGTTCTGTTGTCGGGGTTGTTCTTGTTGCTTCTTACCTTCTTCGGCTTCTGACATCTCGCTTGCCTCTCGCAGCTGCTTCTCTTCGCACTTCTCCGCTTGTCACCCCTCTCCTCATGGATGTGGCCTTTGTTCTGATCTCGACGGGGAGCAACAGGGAGGAGTGGCTCTGCACCCAGGCCAGCTGTGGGAAAGCGCACGGCAAATCTTTCATGACTGCTGCAGACCACATCACTTCTGCAAGTCATCTGCTGGGGTTAGAGAAGCTGGGTGCTGCCACTCGTCTCTCCCTCGAGAAGCTGAACCTGAACACCATCCGCAAGGAGTACGGGATCTAACTGTTGACCTGGATCGGTTGACCAGTAGCTCTTCAGCTGTTCCCGTCATCTGTTCTGTCATAGCTGTTGCATGTTTCACCAGCCTGTGGATGAGGGGAGGCTATCAAGCAGTGATCAAATGAGTACAAAAAAACTTCTCACAGTAGCAGGCCTGAATGTGAACGGCCTGGGGGACGGGAACAAGCAACAGCGTACGAAGAACTGGATCAGGCAAGCAGCTGATATCACTATACTCTCAGACTCAAGATTAGCAGACGACCACCCATACTGGAACTCTCTTAAACAGCCTAGGACTTTAGTTGCCTCACCAACTGCCAAAGCCGGCGGTGTTGCGCTGATCTGTCGCAGACAAGGTTTATCACTTCATAACATTTTGATTCACCCGTCAGGCCGACTGATCAAAGCGGACGTGCAGCTTGACGCCTTTCACATCACCTTAGTAGCAGTGTATTTCCCGGCGGACGTGACGGACAGGAAGTCCTTCATCCGTCGGGTCCTGGGCCCAGTGGTTGACGGTGTACCGCCTGGCGCTCACCTGCTTGTCCTCGGGGATCTGAATCTGGTGGAGGATCCGCTGCTGGACAGGACTTCCAGGAAGGGGACGACCAAGGAGAATGATGAGTTGTACCAGCGCTGCAGTGCCGTCCGTTTATCGGATGCCTTTCGCGTTCTGCATCCCTTCAAGCGGGAGTTCACTTTCTACTCACACGCCTGCCAGACCAGCTCGCGCATAGACCGCGCGCTCATCTCGCAATCTCTGCTATTGCATGTTGAGTTCGCCTCCCACATCATGCCTGCCGACCCAATCTCGGATCACAGCTTCGCGATTAAGGTGGCCTTCAGGATGAGCACGCAAGTGCAGACGGGACCGGGCCTCTGGAGGCTTCCTGCATACATGGTGGGGAGACCGGGTGTCAGAAAGGTGATTGAGCGGGTGTCGAATCAGATGGAGGAATCGGGTGGCAATTACGAGTTGCTAATCGCGAGACTGAACGCGGGGCTCAAGGCTTACGCCAGAGAGGAGAGTAAGAGGGTTCGCGCCACGTTGTCCTTTCTTCATCAGGCGGTTGCTTATCTGAAACAAGCGTGGCTGGGGGACCCGAGTTGCGTCCGGCTCAAGGACCTGCTGAGTGAAAGGGAGCTCCAACTGAGAAGCTATCAGCAGTCGCGGCAGGAGAGACTGCACGTGATGGCCGGTATGAAGGAGGTGACGTTGGGGGAAGTCGCATCACCTTTTTTATCTGCGAAGATTAAGGGCCGGAAGGCACGCACGCAAATCACGGAGTTAAACGTGGGAGGCACAATGGTTAGTGACAACAAAAGCATTTTGGATGCAGCCTCGCAGTACTACCGGCAGCTGTTTGGAGCAGACAGACAGACGGTCTTATCTGAGTGGGAACCCTCGGCGGACAGAAGGATGTCGTCAGCAGTGGCGGAGTCGCTGACAGCTGAGTGGTCGGAAGAGGAGGTTAAGCGCGCGTTTCAGTCGATGACGAAAAATAAGGCTCCTGGTCGGGACGGCTTGCCAAAGGAGCTCTTTGAAGCGCACTGGGACATCTTGGGCAAACACTTCATGTTGCTGGTGAAAAGCTTCTCGGACACGGCGTCCCTTCCAACCTCCACGAAAGACGCGGTGACCATCCTGCTGCACAAGAAAGGGGGCAGAGATCAGCTGGAGAACTACCGTCCAATCACATTGCTCAGTTTCACCTACAAAGTGATAGCGCGTGTGGTAGCAGACAGGATGAAGAAAGCGCTCTCGGAGGTCGTCTCACCGGAGCAGTTTGGCTTCTTACCCGGGAGGAGGTTGTCGGATGCTGTGGGGCTGGTGGCGGATATTATTGAAGCAGCCAAAAACAAGGACAAAGATTGGTACCTCCTGCTCGTTGACTTCAGGAAGGCCTTCGACTCTGTGTCGCGGGGATTCCTGTTTACGGTGCTGGAGAAGATGGGTTTTCCTCCCCGATTTGTCGGATGGATTCGGGGCCTGCATGAGAACACACGGACAAGTCTGTTGGTTAATGGTTGGAATGGTGAAGCGGTCGATGTGGTCTCGGGGGTGCGCCAGGGCTGCCCCCTTGCACCTTACCTGTTTTTGTGCGCGGTGGAGCCGCTAGCGCAAGAAGCGGTGAACCGGAGGATAGGCGTTTCCGAGGGTGATCAGCGGCTGGCGTACCTTGGGTACGTCGACGATACAACTCTTATCCTGGAGGGGGAGGTGCAGATTGCAGAGGCAGAGAAGCTGTTAGAAGAGTTTGCAGGGGAGTCAGGTCTCGCCACTAACAAGGAGAAGTCAGTTGTCTTACCTCTGGGGTCGAATCTGGGCAGGCAGCCCTGGAAGACCGATGGTTTCAAATGGGCGAAAGCCGATGAGGCAGAAAGGCTGCTGGGGGTGTGGGTGACTCCTGCTGGAAGCTGCAATCCTACATGGGAGAAGGCTTTCGCACAGATTAAGCGGAAATTGTCGCAGTGGGAGGCGCAGCACCTTACAACTGGCGCGCGTGCTGCGGTGATCAACTGCTACGTCTCACCGATAATCTTCTTTCAGGCTCAGGTGTACCCGCCGCCGATGGATATCTGGGGGAGGATACTGAAACTGACGCACAATTTCATGTCGGGAAACCGGGCCTCTACCGACAAGGAATTCATACTGTGGAGCAGAGAGCTGCTGTACATGGCCAGGGAAGAGGGGGGCGTCGGTGTGAAGGACCCTGAAATTGCACTTACCTGCTTAATTGCCAGGAAGATCGGGCTGCTGCTCACCGAGACAAACGCGCTGAAACGCGACATCATGCTCCAAGCTGCGGACCTGCCGCTGGGAACGGACACTTTCGTCGCCCACGTGAAGCTGCTCAAATGCTGGCGCGGGAAAAGCGAGCGGTGGAAGCTTGCGTGCGCTAACTTCATGCAGTCGCCGCTCGCCAGCACGTCGCTTGAATTATCACGGGAGGAAGCTGCGAAGGAACGGATCGTTTTCAACCGCCATATCCTGATGAATGGCACGACTCCAGTGGGCAGCCAGAAAGCCGCAGGAAAATTGTGGGAGGTGCGTCTGGGTAACCTGCTGGTCGCGGGTGAGGACGGGGGCTGGTGTGTGAAGGATGTCAAAACCCTAGCGAGGGAGCTCGGTGGCTCGAAGCAGGCAAAGCTTGCTCTACGGGCGTGGGAGGCTGCACCGCAGAGCTGGAAACTGCTTCTCCTCTCAGCCGAGCAATCCTGTGCACCCACCACCCAGCTCCGCACTCCGCTACAGCGCACAGCGGCTTTCAGTGGTGGGGGGATACCATCGCTGAAGGAGTTGAAGGGGAACTGGCAACAATCGAAACATCAATCGGCCAAACGGGAGCTCTGGGCGGGCAGATGGGCAGGAGCCATTGCCTGGAAAAGGGTTGTGAAAATTCGGGACTCGCCGGTGACGCCGAACCGACCGCGGGATGTGCTGCTGAGAATTCACAGTCTCAACCTTCAGGTGGGCGAACGGCTTTCCTTCCTGAGTGGAAAGCCGGTCTGCCCGCATTGCGGGGAGTTTGAAACTCTGGAACATTGCCTCTACACCTGTCCAAGGATCCAGACGGTTGTGGGGGCAGTTCGGAAGGCTCTGCGCATGCTGAATCCGACGAGGCATGTTGACAGCTTGGGTGACCTACTGTTTGGCAACACCGCTTCCACCTCAGCTTTTCCGGAAGCATCTCTCTCGGCAATCGCAATACACCAGATTTGGGCAGAACGGTGTGATTGCGTGTTTCGAGGCAAGAGGTTTCGGGCCAGGCGGGTGCTGAGGAGGATTGAAGCAGCTTTCAGGCTCCATGTGCGGGTGTACACTCGGGCAACAGGGATAAAGCTGAACATGAAGGGTGACTTGAGGCAGGGCGGGAAGACATACGCGCTGGCAGAACAGGAGGGTCGGCTCCTTGGACGTGTCCGGTCTCTGAATGGCAAGGGCTGGAAATGGTCCCATCGCTTTGGCGCGCTGTGGAATCTTGCGCGAGGGGCACTGCATCCCCCTTAGAGTCGTCCCCTGAGGCTGGCACGCTGCCGGGCCTCTCACGCTCAGTTACGACTGATATATGTTTGTATGCACTAGCATCATCGGTGTATATCTTAACATATTTAAAAAAAAAAAAAAAAAAAAAAAAAAAAAAAAAAAAAAAAAAAAAAAAAAAAAAAAAAAAAAAAAAAAAAAAAAAACCTCTCAACATGCAACTTTAGTAAAGCTGTACAATTTGGGCCGCGAGCTTTAAGGGCGAGTAGCGCGTAGATTTACAGTTAGTTTACAGTTCATCCGTCGTGTTTTCAAACGATACCAGACGGTGCAAAGTGGTTGCTATTTCTCACCGTTTGGCACCGTGACGTAAGATGATAAACCGCACAGAATGAACTGTAAACCAGCTGAAAACGTACACACACTTCGAGAGTCGGCTCCCTGAGCTGCCTTTGACGTGGTGCGACATGACGTACTCCCTGTGAGACAGAAGCCAAGGCAAACCAACGCACCGCACTTTCTTTTCCGACTCACCTTAGTAAGTCCGCACCATACGGCACAGGAATTCCAGTTGTGTTGTAGTAGCAAGTCTTTCTAAAAGGTTGTAGCTGCGTGTCGCCTAAACTGGTGATCGCAGTACATGTACATCAGATCGCTTATCTCGGAGCAGTTTTGTCACACCTCACATTTGAAAATTATGTCATAGCAGGCTCACACACTTCGCCTTTTGTGACGACCTAGGTTCCGCCTCGTGTTTAGGCTTTCTTCTAAGGGCTTTCAAGCAATCGAGGCTTGCAAATCGTGATCATGCGAGCGCAAGACGACGTTAGAGGGGACGAGGAAGAGCCGTCGTTCACATTAGAGACACCTCTCCTTTGCCAACCCTTAGTAAATTGGCAATTAAAGCGGCCTGTTTGGTGTTTGTCACTACCGACTCCCGTACTTCTCGCCTTAGCAGCCATTCTAATATGCGAGGCCCTTTTATATGTAGAATTTCCCCTCTCCTTCGGTCGACCTCATGCGGCTGTTATTGAATTCATCGGAGACACTCATATCGAGGATCGGGACAGCGCCTGGCTCGCGTCCGTCGAGATAAAACGCACGAAGTTCAATTTCTCAGATTCATGCGTGGATGTCCTTCGCAGTCACTCCGATACACAATACGTTTATGTTCCGAGTAAAAACGACACTGTACAGGATGTAATGCCTAAGGTTACGAGTTGTAACGCCAGCCTCTGTAACGCGTTGCAACAGTGGGCTCAACTCGCGAGAGAACGCGAGTTACAGGGTAACTGCAGCAGCAACGACCCAGCAATCCGTTCCAGCTGCAAACCCAACTCCTTCACGTCCTTAAAGAACGCGTTTGTATGGCGGATAAATCCAGGCGCGTCAGGGACTCAGCAATTCCCGAACGATCCGCTAAAAGCCGTCCCGCTACCAGAAGAAGAGGTGGAGAGGCAGCAGTCGGGCGGTGTGGGGCAGATCTGCACGGAGGGGTGGAAACGCGGCGTGCTGGCGCGACTGACGAGCAGCGTGTACGTTCGACAGATGCTGGCGGACAACCAGACGCGCATGGAGAACATCACCGCCGGGATCGACGCTGTGTGTGCGCGCGCGCGGGAGGTGGAGGACGGGCTGCTGGCCAGCATTCGAAACGGCAGCGGTGCTGCCACGTCAGCGTGCGGTGACTGGCCTGAGGCGTGCTGGCCCGTGCCGCACATGCCCTTCGCCACGCTCTCTGTATGGATCATGCCTCTTAATGCTCACTGATGCTGGCTTGTCTTCACCCCTCCGTTCTCCCCCCCACTCCCCTGTAGCACGTCTCTCGCCGCGAGCACCTGGTGTTTGCCATGCCCAAGAAGCCGTTTTCGAGGCGCCTCAAAAGGCTCTTCACCTCTTCCCCTCCTCCACTTCTCCCTCCTCCCCCACTCCCGCATCAGGACTTCCCGCGGCGGCGGTACCTGGTGTTCGCCATGTCGGAGGAGCAGCTGAGCAACGCGCGCACGCACATCATCGAGGCGGCGCGCCTCGCTCAGATGTCCAACCGCATCCTCGTGCTTCCCAAGGTGGGTGGGGGGCGGTAGAGCACTAGGTTAACAAAAGAACCGGGTAAGTGTGTGACAGGGTGGTACACGGCTTTTGGGAGCAGCTGAGCAACGTGCAGACCCTCTTCCATCGAGGCCACGCGCCTGGCGCCGATGCCCAACCGCGCCCTCGTGCTGCCCAAGGTGGGTGGGTGGTGGGGTCATTGGGCGTGTGTGATGGGGTAATTGGGTAACAGCCACTAGGAGCAGCTGGGCAATGCGTGGAGCCACACCATAGAGGCGGCGCAGCTGGCTCACATGTCTAACCACATCCTCGTGCGTTCCCTCTCTCCGTCCGTCGCTTTGTCTGGGCCACGTCACACCCTCTGCCAATGCCACGTCATACTATGCACGACATCGCATGCCAATCCGTCTCCTTCCTCCCCTGCTCCGCAGCCACCCCTCTCAACAGGCCAGTCGCAGCCACCCCTCTCAACAGGCCAGTCGCTTCCTGCCCCTCTGCGCTTACTGGGATCTCACCAAGCTGGCGGCCACAGCAGAGTGGGTGCCTGCTTGAATGAGTCCCTACCCGTTTCCTCCTTGTACTGCATCTGACCCCATTCCAACCCACTCCACCCCTCACAACAGGCCAGTCGGAGCCACCTGTCGCTGGGCCGCTCCCTACCCCTCTGTGCCTACTGGGACCTCACCAAGCTGGCCGCCACATCCGAGTGGGTGGCGCCGCAGCTCTTCCTGCTGCTCGCTCGCGCTGCCCTGCCCAACCCGTCTGTGGGCTTCATGTGGGTGCAGTCGCCCTACCTCCAACGCACTGCCTTCCACTATGGTACGCTGACCCCCGCCTGTGTCACTCTCTCTCTCACGCATACTCTACTCACACACTCACACTCGCACGCACGCACTCCCCCCTCGTCCGACCCCCACACACACACTCCTGCCCTCCCCAACCCCTCCGTGGGCTTCATGTGGGTGCAGTCGCCCTACCTCGAGCGCACTGCCTTCCACTACGGTACGCTCACCCCTTCCTGTGTCACACTCTCTCATGCATACTCACTCACACACACACACACACACACACACACACACACACACACACACACACACACACACACACACACACACACACACACACACACACACTCCTGCCCTTCTCAACCCCTCCGTGGGCTTCATGTGGGTGCAATCGCCCTAAACCTATGCTTATGCACCTTTGCTTCCCTTGTGCGCCCTCCCCTAGTGAGAGCTAGCCTCGGAGCTTCTCGGGCAGCTGCTACCATGCCATGCCATGCCATGCCATGCCATGGATGCGGCATGTGCCTCGGGAGGCCAACACGGCCATGCTGTCACTCTCCTCTTGCGTCCTCGTGCTTGCATGTGCTGCCTCTCCTATCCCCGCTTCACAATTGAGACGTCTCAAAAGTCCTCTCCTATCCCCGCTTCACAATTGAGACGTCTCAAAAGTCCTCTCCTATCCCCGCTTCACAATTGAGACGTCTCAAAAGTCCTCTCCTATCCCCGCTTCACAATTGAGACGTCTCAAAAGTCCTCTCCTATCCCCGCTTCACAATTGAGACGTCTCAAAAGTCCTCTCCTATCCCCGCTTCACAATTGAGACGTCTCAAAAGTCCTCTCCTATCCCCGCTTCACAATTGAGACGTCTCAAAAGTCCTCTCCTATCCCCGCTTCACAATTGAGACGTCTCAAAAGTCCTCTCCTATCCCCGCTTCACAATTGAGACGTCTCAAAAGTCCTCTCCTATCCCCGCTTCACAATTGAGACGTCTCAAAAGTCCTCTCCTATCCCCGCTTCACAATTGAGACGTCTCAAAAGTCCTCTCCTATCCCCGCTTCACAATTGAGACGTCTCAAAAGTCCTCTCCTATCCCCGCTTCACAATTGAGACGTCTCAAAAGTCCTCTCCTATCCCCGCTTCACAATTGAGACGTCTCAAAAGTCCTCTCCTATCCCCGCTTCACAATTGAGACGTCTCAAAAGTCCTCTCCTATCCCCGCTTCACAATTGAGACGTCTCAAAAGTCCTCTCCTATCCCCGCTTCACAATTGAGACGTCTCAAAAGTCCTCTCCTATCCCCGCTTCACAATTGAGACGTCTCAAAAGTCCTCTCCTATCCCCGCTTCACAATTGAGACGTCTCAAAAGTCCTCTCCTATCCCCGCTTCACAATTGAGACGTCTCAAAAGTCCTCTCCTATCCCCGCTTCACAATTGAGACGTCTCAAAAGTCCTCTCCTATCCCCGCTTCACAATTGAGACGTCTCAAAAGTCCTCTCCTATCCCCGCTTCACAATTGAGACGTCTCAAAAGTCCTCTCCTATCCCCGCTTCACAATTGGCTTCTGAGTTTTTGGGGCAGCTGCTACCATTCACCATGGGGCACGTGCCTCTGGAGGCCAACACTCACATGCGTTGCGTACATGCGTGCATGCATTCCCTCTCCTCCCCTCTCCACTCCCTTCTGCTTCTCCTCCCCTGGTCAAAACTAGCCTCGGAGCTCCTGGGGCAGCTACTACCGTTCGCCAGGGGAGGCTAACACTCACTGTCTTCCCGCCAGGGGAGGCTAACACTCACTGTCTTCCCGCCAGGGGAGGCTAACACTCACTGTCTTCCCGCCAGGGGAGGCTAACACTCACTGTCTTCCCGCCAGGGGAGGCTAACACTCACTGTCTTCCCGCCAGGGGAGGCTAACACTCACTGTCTTCCCGCCAGGGGAGGCTAACACTCACTGTCTTCCCGCCAGGGGAGGCTAACACTCACTGTCTTCCCGCCAGGGGAGGCTAACACTCACTGTCTTCCCGCCAGGGGAGGCTAACACTCACTGTCTTCCCGCCAGGGGAGGCTAACACTCACTGTCTTCCCGCCAGGGGAGGCTAACACTCACTGTCTTCCCGCCAGGGGAGGCTAACACTCACTGTCTTCCCGCCAGGGGAGGCTAACACTCACTGTCTTCCCGCCAGGGGAGGCTAACACTCACTGTCTTCCCGCCAGGGGAGGCTAACACTCACTGTCTTCCCGCTCCCTCTTGTTTCTCCTCTCTCTCCTCCCAATGCACTCTGCTGCCTCTCTTTTCCCCCCGTCAGAGCTGGCGTCGGAGTTCCTGGGGCAGCTGCTGCCATTCGCCATGGGGCACGTGCCTCTGGAGGCCAACACGCTGGACGTCAAGATGCCTGCCCGGGACGACACCATGGCTCTCACGCTCAAGGCGTGGTACGTGCGTGTGCAGTGCGGTGTCAGGAGATGGGATGGGATGGGATGGGATGGGAGGGAGTGGTACTTTTTGCCCCTATTCACTCTGGGCGTGAAGATACCTGCCTGGGGCGACGCGATGGCTCTCTCGCTCAACGTGTGGTATGTGTGTGTGCAGTGCGGTGTGAGGCGATGGGATGGCATGGGATGGGATGGGATGGGCTTGCTAGTGTTTGAACACGCTAGCATGCGAAGGCTCCTCCGGGGGTAACCCGTGTGGAACGCGGATCTTCCCTCTCCTCTTGCCGCTCCTCCTGTGTCAAGCTGTATCAGCACCCACACACAGACCTTCCCATGTTACCTGCATCCCATTCCATGCCCCACTGCATGCCCCACTGCATGCCCCACTGCATGCCCCACTGCATGCCCCACTCCAAGCCCATACCCTCGCACGGACCACCTCTCGCATACGTGTACCGTGTACCCATACCCACGCATACCACTCTGTATCCCTCTCCGCACTCCAGCAGCGATAGAAACGTGGTGGAGTGGTTCAAGACGACCTGGGAGCGAGTGCAGTTCCACTCCAGCACAGACCACCACACCACTCACATCCGTGTGCACCCATACCCACGCGGACCCACGTGTACCCACCCGTACCACTCTCTATCTCTCACCAGGAGCAACAGGGACGTGGTGGTGTGGTTCAAAACGACCTGGGAGGGAGCGAGTGAAGTTCCACCCTCACACGGACGACATTGTTCTGCCCATGCTGCCGTACCGCTCCACTCCATTTGTTTTCCACTATCCCACTCCACCACGCTCATACCCCCACACGGCCACACACCAGGAGCAACAGGGATGTGGTGGTGTGGTTCAAGACGACGTGGGAGCGAGTGAAGTTCCACCCGCACACGGACGACATTGCGCTGCCCATGCTGCCGTACCAAAAGAGCCTGCATGCCACGGCTGAGCGGCTGCTAGCACGTCTGCCTCGCCCGCTCATTGCTGTTCACTTCCGCTCCGAGTTCATCGCTTTCAGAGTGGTGAGTGGGGGGATGGGTGGCAAGAGGGGAGGGGAAGCAAGGTCTAAGAGGCTACCTGCATGCCACGGCTGAGCGCCTGCTGGCGCTCCTGCCTCGCCCGCTCATTGCTGATCACTTCCATTCCAAGTTCATGGCTTTCCGAGTGGTGAGTTAGCACAGAGAGGGAATGAGAAGGAGGGGCACGCGGTGAGAGGAGAAGCAACGAGGGAGTGAGGGAGGGGGCAGAGAGTGGAGGAACGAGCGCCGTGCGGTCGCTGCTGTGTGCCGGCTGGCGAGCCGTCCTGGGCCCTTGCATGCTGAGCTCTGTTATGCGAATTCTCACAAGTGATTCCCTTGCATGGTGGAATCTGCCTGTGCCGCCCTGGCTATGTTTGCTATGTGCTAGGCTCTGCATTATGGGTGCTTCAAGCGATGAGATGGGAGGGGGACAGAGGGGGAGGGGAGAACGGAGAAGGGAGAGGGACTGGGGTGGGCAGGAAGGCCAGGCAGGCAACGAGGAGAGGCAACTCTTCCCGAGTACTCTCACCCTTTTCCGTGACACCACACCCGTCCCTCTTCCCTAGTCGTGTGGTAGCAAGAGAGTATGGTGAGTGGGGGCAGCAAGGCCTCGGCCTTGGCAGGAGTGTTGAATCACAGCTGGAGCCCTACTCCCCTCTGAATCGCCGAAAAAAAGCTGTTTCCCCCTCTCTCCCTGTGCCAAATTGTGCAGCAAGAGGACATGGTGAGTCAGGGCGGCAAGGCGAACGCAAGCATGGTGCAGCAGCGGCTGGACTGGTGTGTGGGCGAGGCTGAGCGCCTCATCACCTCCGTCCGGGACTCGCTCTCTCACTCCTCCACCGGTGGCAACAGCACCAACCCCCCCAGTAGCAGCAGCAGCGGTGGCAACAGCAGCACGGGCAGTGGCAGTGGTCCATCGGTGTTCATCGCAGCCGACGTGCCGTTCAACGAGTCTGCCGCCCCGGCGCGGTCCGACTCGTGGACGGAGATGGTTCAGTGGTACGACGGGGACAGCCGCGTGCTCAAATCGTCGTCCGCTGCGCTGCACCGCCTGAGAAGAAACGTGCACGGGACTGTTATGATCGATGAGATCATGCCGGAGGTCAACGAGTTCGACCCAGGTGGGTGCGGGTGGATGTGGGTTGCCCAGGTAGTAACCCAGGTGAGATGGTGCAGTGGACCAGTGGTTTATGCTTCAAGACCCCTGACCCCTGACCAATGCTGTTCATGCGAACGTGCATGGCACCGTGATGATTGATGGTGACATGCCGGCAGTGAACGCGCTTGACCTGGGTGGGTGGCGTGGCGTGGCGGGAGAGGGGAGTGTGAGGGGCAGCTCTGACCGCCCTCTACCACACGGCTGTGCATGTGAACGTGCATGGCACTGTGATGATCAATGAAGTCATAACGCAAGTGAAGGAGCTCGACCCAGGTAGGTGTATGAAGGGCGCGTAAGGGGTCACTCTGACCGCCCTCCTCCACACTGCTATGGGGGCGGCAGGGGGTATGATATGAGAACACCTTTTCACTGCCTTCTTCTCTCCCGTTCCCTCCTCCAGGCGTGGTGGCCATTCTAGACAAGCTGGTGTGTGCGCATGCAAACGTGTTCCTGGCGGGGTCATGGGCCTGTGGGGGCGGCAGGGGGTATGAATCGGACATTATGAAACACCGCCGGCTGGCCGGTTACTCTGATGACACACTGAAGCGATGGGCGGAAGAGCAGTGAGCAATACGCGCCTAGAATCTGAGGGACTGTGTGGCCGTGAGGCTGTGGGGTTGTGGGACTGTGGGGGCGGCAGGGGGTACGAGACGGACATTATGAAGCACCGCCGCCAGTCTGGTTGTTTCGATGACATGCTACAATGGTGGGCTGAAGGGCGGTGAGGTGCGGCGATGGGCGCAGGGGCAGTGAACAAATCAAGCTCAGAAGTTAGAGGAATTGTGGGGCTGAGAGGCTCTGAGGATCTTGGGGCTGTGGCGGCGGGAGGCGGTACGAGACGGACGTCATGAAGCACCACCGCACCTCCGATGATACGCTGCAGCGATGGGCGGAAGAGCAGTGAGGTGTAGCGATGGGCGGAAGAGCAGTGAGGTGTAGCGATGGGCGGAAGAGCAGTGAGGTGTAGCGATGGGCGGAAGAGCAGTGAGGTGTAGCGATGGGCGGAAGAGCAGTGAGGTGTAGCGATGGGTGCAGGGGCAGTGAAGCACATGCCCCTAGATACAGACCTTTGGGGTGTGCTGCTGTAGCGATGGGTGCAGGCACACCGAATAAATCGTGCTAGAAGCTACGCTGGTGATGCCGCTGTAGCCGTGGGTGGGTGGATACAAGAGCAACGGGCGAGAGATGCCAGAGGTGGGAAGAAATGGGAACACACGGGGCTTCCAAGTGGTTTCTGCTGTGACAATCACGGCGAGGGGCACCGCTGCACCGCTGCTTGCTTCTGCAGCCGTTGAAAACTGGGTTCCAGGATGGTGCTTCTGCCATTCCGCTGCTTGTGACTTGACTGGAATGCCAGCAATAGGAAGCCCCTTCCCCCCTGTAGCGGATCAAAGGGATAGCATACGTGAGTTGCTGTAGTGTTTTGCCACGTGATATATAAGACTAGTATGAGGTTACTGTCACACTGCATTTCTTACTGCTCTGGCAGCGTTTTGTAAGTACCGCAGTTAGTGTGCATGCAGTTACCTTAGAAATCAATAATGTCATCAATTTTGAGGTAATGAGAATGCTTAGTGGATGTGTGACAGTGTCACTCAACACAGTTATGGTTCAAGCACTCCGTCTCCTCTAGTCCATGTCACAGTCCTTCCCCAGGTAGCCTTTTGAGGCGCCTCAAAAGTCCTTCCCCAGGTACCCTTGCACCCATTTCATCGACTTAAGGCATGTCATTTTTGGTACTACGGTAAGTCCAGTTTAGACAAATACCTGTGCAATGCATTTTAATGGCCTAATAAACTACAACAATTCAAATGAATGTTACACGAATCACAGTGAAGAACTCCGTGCATCGTCGTGTCATGTCATCTCATCTCCTACTCCAGGAGCCCTGGCGCCTGTATGTGCTCATGCTCATGGCATGGCTGGCAATCACACTCCCCGCATCCCCCCCATTCTGCATGCGCGGACTCGATGGCCTCGGGCTCGCCACTCGTGGCGACATGCCCATCGTTCCCACGCCAGGGGAACCTCCGGTCATACCCCCTGGAGGTCCAAAGGCCCGGGGTGAATAGCCCCTGGGTGACATGGCCCTGGGGCTACTTCCGCTACTACCCTGGAAATGCAGGGCACGGGGGCTAGATGTCCGCATGGCAGCAGACGCAATCATGGCTCCAATGTCCGGAGCGGTGGGGCTAGCCGCGTTGCGGGACGGATAGTAGCTATTGTTCACGCTCGGCGAGCCGCCTATCCTCGGGCTGCTGCTGCATCGGTACGGCTCGGCAGCCCTTGCCGAGCCTGGCATCCCGTACTGCCTCGGGCTGCTGCTGCTGGCTCGGTAAGGCTCAGGAGCCCTTGCCGAGCCTGGCATGCCGTAGTAAGCACTGTTCTGTGACATCGATCCAGCCCCCCCTATCCGGGGACTCGTCCCTCTACTCGAATCTGACCAAGCAGCACCACCCCCGCCCCCTCCCCCACCGCTGCCGTACCCACCAGACCTTCCGGGAACAGAGGCAGCAGCGGGGCACCCGCGGGGGCTGGGGTCGCGGAAGTAGGGGGCGCGGGGGGAGGGCTCTCGGATGGCGGTGTGGGGGGAGGAGTCGCGCGGGGGGTGTGTGCGGGGGGAGGAGTCGCAGTGGCGGAAGGCGGCGCGGGGGGAGGGGTCGCGGTAGGCCAGGGAGCGCGCACTGGATGGGCTGGGCCTCCTCGCCACCCAGTCGTCCCTCTGATGGGGGGAGGGAGAGGGAGGGAGAACAAGGGCGAGAGGGATGGAGGGAGAAGCAGGGCGGAGGAAGTGGTGGGGAGAGGAAAAGGGGGTGAGTACAAGAGGAGTGGAAATTCTGTGGCATGTTTGGGCTCGTGAACACTCAACGCGCAGATTCCACCAGAACTGCACACTCAACCACCCCGACTCATTACCACGCCACGCCACACCCACCCATGCCCCCTCCTGCGTAAGGTCTTGGTTCAGAGCATACCCCTGCTTGGGGTCTTCACTCTCCAGCATGTGCATGACGACCTGCGGCATCTTGGGGCGCTTGAGAGCGTTGGGCTCAACACATCTCAGCGCCACTCCCAACGTGCATTGCACATCTTGGCCACAGGCATTACCACACCACACCCACTCATGACCACACCACACCCATTCATACCTGCTTGGGGTCCTCGCTCTCCAGCATGTGCACGATCTGCGGCATCTTGGGGCGCTTAAGTGCATTGGGCTCCACGCATCGCAGCGCCACGCCCAGCGCGTACTCCACATCGTCTGCCTGCACCGTGCCCTGCAGCCGCGGGTCCAGCACCTCTAACAGCCGCTCCTCTGCTGCCTTGGCGCGCACCCACCGCACCAAGTCCACCTGATAAGAGTGAAGGGAGGGAGCGAGTGAGGCAGTGAGTGAGAGAGTGAGTGGGTGTGGGGAGGAGCAGGGGCATACTCCACGTCGTCTGCCTGTACCGTGCCCTGCAGGCGTGGATCTAGGACCTTGACGAGGCGCCCCTTTGCTGCCTTGGCTCGTACCTGATAATGGCTGAAGGGAGGGAGTGAGTGAGAGAGTGAGTGAGGGAGTGGAGGATCAGGGGCGTTGACTATACGTTGGTAGCTCAAAAGGTCACATGAGAGTGCACTACAGGTGAAAGCTCACCTGAACTGGAAGTGCTTCTTGATCCATAGGCCGTCTACCCCACTTGCGTTCCTGCACGCACTAAATCTGTTCTCAGCTCGGCGCGCTCAAGCTAATTGAGCATGTGCATCAAGCACTGTCATCCCAGGCCTACCAGATTTGATTGTGCTTCATGACCCATCGGCTGTCGATCACACATTGGTACCTGCACACGCTGACTCTCATGTCAGCTCACATATGGCATCACATGACATGTGCACGCATGGTGCTCCCGAGCCTACCTGGTCCGGGGTTGCTTTGTTTTTCATGACCCGCCTCCTGTCCTTGCGTTTCTGCACAGGGCCGGAGATGAGTTCCAGCAACAGCTGCCCAAAGAGCTCTGCTCAAGTCACATGCGCGTGCATTGCATTTGCAAGCCCACCTGGTCGGAGGGAGCCTCGTTGTCGATGGGCGGGCGGCCGGAGATGAGTTCGAGCAGCAGCACGCCAAAGCTGTACACGTCACTGCGCTCCGTGAGCAGCCCCGTGTTCATGTACTCCGGCGCCACGTACCTGCAATACGAATGAGAACGAGGATTGGGAGAGGAGGATCGGGAGAGGAGGATCGGGAGAGGAGGGCCGGGAGAGGAGGGTCGGGAGAGGAGGGTCGGGATGAATGCGACTCTTTTAACGTTAAATCAAAGTGATCTAGATGGAATATGGCCAATCATAAATGAGACTGTATCTGTCTGGTGTTTTGATATGGTCAGAAGAAGGGGGTCGGGAGAGGAGGGTCGAGAAGAGACAAGCGCTCACATGCCCGCCCCCACACACGAGCACTCCATGAATCATCAAGTCAACTCACCCAAACGTGCCCATGACTCGCGTGCCCACGTGCCCTTGCTCCCTCCCCATGGCCTTGGCCAGGGCGAAGTCGCCCAGCTTGGCGTTCCACTGCGCGTCCAGCAGCACGTTAGACGCCTTCACGTCCCTGTGCACCACCTTCACCGCCATGCCGCCATGCAGGTGGGCCAAGCTGCATGGGTTGAGACGAAGAGGAACGAATGGGAACAGCAAAGGGGGTGCACAACTTAGGATTACCTACCCTCACCAATCAGATAACGCACGGCACTCACCCTTTGGCATAGCCTACACCCACATGCGTATGCATGCAGCAAGCACGGGTTGAGAGAGAGAGAGAGAGAGAGAGAGAGAGAGAGAGAGAGAGAGAGAGAGAGAGAGAGAGAGAGAGAGAGAGAGAGAGAGAGAGAGAGAGAGAGAGAGAGAGAGAGAGAGAGAGAGAGGCAACAAGTGAGAAGAGAGGAGGAAGCACGTACCCTTTGGCACAGCCAATAGCCACGTGCATGCGCATGGGCCAGTCCAGCGTATCCGCCGACCCTCCAGCAGCCGTCTGGTAGAGCCAGGCGTCCAGGGAGCCGTTGGGCAGGTACTCGTACACCAGCATGCGCTCGTCGCCCTCCACACAGCACCCTAATACTGCCGCTAGGTTGGGGTGCTTGGCCTGCGCTAGCGAGTCTATTTCAAACTTGAACTCGCGGGGAGATTGCTCCAAACTGGCGTGAGAAGGGACGGTGGAGATGGTAAGAGAGAGGGGGGGGGGGGGGAGAAGGGAAGAGTGGGGATATGGTAAGAGGGGAGACGGGGTAAGAATGGGCAGACATGACGTGTGAGATAGATTGGACCCCAGCCGGGTGTGACAAGGATCAAGCTTGGATTCAATTCTTGCCACTTGTGTGTTGGACTTACTTTTTGTCACTCAGTCGTTTCACGGCCACCGTGGTCCCCTCGGGTAACCGCGCGCGGTAAACAGTGCCGTGCCGCCCGCTGCCCAGCACACTGCGCTCACTCTGCCGCCCGAAGTCGTTCGTCGCCAGTGCCAGCTCAGCAACCGTGAAGTACCGCTCCAAACCGTGCCCTGCTGCCTCGTCACCATCTGCTGACGTGTCAGACGTATCTCCATCCGTCCTCTCTCCTTCCAATCCCTCTCCCCTGCCACTGCTTCTGCCAGTGACCACTCCAGCAGCACCAGCAGGAGCAGCACGAGAGGGCGAGATAGCAGCAGTTGCGGCAGCCACAGTGGCAGCAGATGCGCCTGCCCAGCCCCTGGGAATAGCAGGCGATACTGCTGCTCCTCCTCCTCCTGCTCCTGCTGCTACTGCCGCTCTAGTGCTTGTTAAAGGCTGTTTAACTCCGGGGTAATCGCTATCACTGCTCTCACTCGTAACGCTGCTCTCCTCCTCCTCCTCCTCCCCGCGTTCCCCCTCTGCTGCGTGCAGGTCTGTCACTCGCAGGGACCTCCCAGCAGGCCCATACACCCCCACCCGCACGCCAGATGAGCCTGCCCCAGCAGCACCACCTGCCCCAGATACACCTGCTCCAGTTCCGCCTGCCCCAGATGCACCTGCCCTTGGCGCTCCTGCCCCTGGCTTGCGAGGGCTGTCCCCTAGAACCCCCTTACCCACTACTGCAGCGCTGGTAACAGCCGGCGTTGCAGCCACTCTCCCGTACCCCCCTCCACTCTCCTCCATCTCGATCTCCTCCGTGTCTGAATCCCGATCGCTGCTCGCACCAGATGCAGCAGACGCACCAGTGGTTGCAGACGCCGCTGCTGCTGACTGCCCCCCAACTCGCCCCCTGCTCGCTGCTGCAGTCGCAGCTGCAAACGCAGCAGACATTGCAGCAGGCATTGCAGCCGACGTGGCAGCCGACGTGGCAGCAGACGTGGCGGCAGAAGGCACAGCAGGTGCAGCCACACGAGTCGCGCCACTGCTGTTGTGGGCGTGAACGGCGGTCGCGCCCATGAGAGAGCCGCCCTTGCTGGCATCGTCCCACCCTCTGTCCCTACTCACCACTGACGACACCACTGATTGTGACCCTGGCCCCTCACTCTCGCTCTCGCTCTCACTCTCACTCTCCTTACCCCACTCTCTCCCGCCCTCCCTCTCCCTCTCGGCCTCTCTCGCTGCAACCGGGTCAGCCACGGCAGCGCGCTGAGCCCTCGGCGCGCCCCACCCGCCGAGGGCCTTCACAGGGCTGGGGGTGTTGGCGCTGCTGCGCACCACACTCGCGACGCTCGCACTGCCATACGCCGTCGCTTTGTCACTCGACTGGGGCAAGTACGCACTGTCGTAATAAGCAACAGAAGCAGCACCAGCTGCACCACCAGCAGCGCTGCCCCTCTCGCTCCCATTCCTTGACTCATCCTCCTGCCGGCCGAACGATCCGCTCTGCCCCGGCCCCCGAGCCTGCCCCTGAGGCTGCTCCCAAGCCGCCGGTTTCCGGGGCTGCTCCGCAGGTCTGGGCGACCGCCTCGGTGGCGTCCCACCCTGTCGCTCGTTCCTCTCCGATCGTCCGCGCGACGCTTGCCTGGCTGTAGCCGCCACAGCAGCAGCCCCCGCTGTCGCCGCCGCGGCTCCCGCTACAGCCGGTCCTGCTACAGCCGCCGAGCGCGACGCGCCGCCTGTCGGCGAGGCGGCAGCGGGGAACACAGCGCGATCGCGCGAGGACGGCAGACAGCCGTTCATCTCGCCGCCCATCTCGACATCGACGGCCAAGGAGCGCGCTCCTGGGGAGCCGACAGACGCGGCGACGGAGGAGGGCGGCTTGGCGCCGGTACGATTTGTCTGCTTCTGCTTCTTTGCCGCCCAGGCGCCGCCCGCGGCGACGGACAGGGCGGGTTCCTTGAGTCCGTCATTCGCCTGGTGAGGGCGGCAGTCAGCGGGTGCGGGGGTAGGGGCGGGGGGAAGCGGGAAAAGGAGGGATGAGAAGAGGCGGGGTAAGCGGGTGTTGTGAGCGGGAAGTACAGGGAAGGCAGAATGGAAGCAGGAAGGGGTCAACGGCCAGGATAACTTATCCCACAACTCACCGCGCCCTTGGCGGTCTTGCCCTTGCGCTCGCCCTTGCAGCAGCAGCACCACACGACCAGCAGCACCGACAGGATACACGCCAGCCCCGCAGCTGCTCCTATCGCGATATACACGGGCGTCGTTAACCCCCCGCTGCTGCCGCCGCTGCTGCCGCTGCTGTCACTGCTGTTGCTACTGCTGCTGGTGCCCTCCGCAGCAGCCGCGGTGCTGCCGGTCGCGGGTTGCGGCGACGGCGGCGGAGTGGCCGGCTTGAGCGGGATGAACTCGTCAACGGGCGAGGCGGACGGCGGGGAGGGGGAAGATGCATTCCCCGGAAGGGGAGTGGCGGAGTTAGACGGGGCGGGATGGGCGGAGTGGGGAGGTATGGTGGTGGGGGAGGGGGATACTCCAGGCACTGTGGGGTTGTTGGGTGGCAGCCTGGGGGTGACTGGAAGCCGCGGCTTCGGAGCGACCTTGGGAGTGGGTACAACGGGAATCCGCGGCGTGGGTGTAACGGGAATCCTGGGCGTGGGTGTAACGGGAATCCTGGGCGTGGGTGTAACGGGGGTCTTGGGCTTGGGTGTGGGAGTGACGGGAATCCTGGGTGTGGGGGTTTTCGGCGGCAGCTTGGGCAGCGGGACGTACGGCGGATCGCCCGGACAGGCCTGCACGGCCGCAAAGACAAGTAGGCGAGTGAGCACAAGAGATCCCGAGCCTCACGGTTTTCCTGATGTTCCTGATTAGTACCGCATGCAAGGAACAGTGAAAACCAATTGAGCATATAGCTGACGGTCAAGCATCTAGCCGGTAGGCATGCCTCTAGCCGACAGATTAGCATCTAGGAGACGCACCGTTAGGCCGGTGAATCCGGTTCCGCAGAAGCCGGCGCCATTGGCGGAGAAGTTGTAATGGGCGGTGCGGCTGGCGCGCAGGTAGTCGAGTCCTCGGGGCACGCGGCCTGTAAGGCGATTCTCCGCCAGCGACACGTCCTGCAGCAGTTTCAGATTGCCGATGGCGTCCGGAATCGAACCCGCGAGCTCGTTGTTGTTGAGCTCCAGCACCTTGAGCTGCACAGGTGCATGTGTCCGAAGGCATTGACGCAGGGCATCGTCGCAGGGCATTGTCTCAGGTGAAACATGCCACATGGGGGATCAGAACCGACAGAAACTAGCGAGGGTTGGTTGTTCAGTCGACCCAGATATCATGACAGGACGAGGAAAGGGCGGGGAGGGTGGGCGTGCCTTGGTGAGCAGGCCGAGGGAGGCGGGAATGGCGTCGCCGAGCTGGTTGCGGCTGAGGTCCAGCGAGAAGAGGCTCGTCACCAGATTCAGCTCCGGGATTCGCCCGCCCAGCCGGTTGTTGCACAGGTTCAGCACCTGACCGAAGAGCACACACGACGGAAATCGTCAGAGGAGTGGGTATCGTTTGTATTACAGAGAGCCGCCGCTCACGGCAAAGGAGGGGCCCGGAAATTTCGGCGTCTCAAAACCCCGAGGCTTGCACCTGGAGGCTGAGGATGTTGTTGACGCTGTTTGGGAATGAAAAACCTTAGAGCCCGCCATCGTGATATTGTTAATGCTTTTTGAAAATGGAACACCTAAGAGCCGTTCATCGCGAAGTCTCAGAAGAAGAGGGGCTTTGCACCTGGAGGCTGAGGATATTGTTGATGCTGTCGGGGATGACTCCGCTGAGCGCGTTCCGCCCGAGGTCGAGAAACGTCAGCGTCGCGATCTGATTGATCTCCACGGGAATCTCGCCTGCAAGGCCCAGGCCGTTCAAATGCAGCGCGACTGGCTGGTGATGCCCGTCGCACGTGACTCCCTGCGCGGAATAGAGTGATTGTATTGAAGAGCAGACGACACTATCGAGAATACAGCGTTTCACAATGCGGTGGAATTCGGTGCAGATGGGTGTTAACAGAGACGGTGGATTGTAGATGACAGCAGCCAATGCAATAGGTACATTCAATATCGACAGTTTCCATGCAATGACAGCCGGCAACTTGCTTCCACGAAGCTTGACGCACTTGGAAGGGAGGGCTTCCGCAAGGGTCGCCATTGGTCCGCCATGAGCTGAGTTTTTGCGCGCCGGGGTCCAGCTTCGCCGCTATGCTGCTCCAATCCGTCGCGACGGCGCGCGTTACTAACCCCAATACGACTAACGCGAGCAAGTACGAGTATACTTCTTTCTGCATCCCTATTCTAAGTTTCAACGGTCCGATTTCTGTCATTGTGAAGCTGCAACGCTGCTAAGCCTTCGATAGAGATGGAGAAATAAGTAGTTCTGGAAAAACAAACCCTCGGTCTATTGATTGCAAGAGGGAAGGAGAAAGGCCTCCTCCAGCATCTATGCTTCGTCCACTAAGCCATGGCGATGCAGTTAACGACTTCTAGGAACGAATGAAGACCTCACGTGCTAGAGAATCAAGCTTCCTAGTACAGGGGGCTCTGCTCCAGTATATTTCACGGTTTCCTCCACTAATCTTCACGGCAGCACAAGGGAGCATTCCATGTATCTGCTCCTCGCCCACTTGCACCACTCAACTTGTCCGTCTGTATACCAGCGCCCAGTAAATTATTCGCTAGTCCTCCACCTACCCCTTCCTTCCCCTGCACCCAGAAATGGTCTTCAAACGCCTGTATGTAATCGGTCAATTCCTGCTGGAGAATGCATATATGAAGCCATGACCAGCGGCGTCTATGGGATGATGGGATTGACGACTTCCGTTGGTTCCTCGTAGTCGCGATAAAACCGAGAACGTCAGGGGCGGCGGTGACGGGTATGACTTACTGCTCTGGCAACTGCTGATAGGGTTATCCAGCGCAAAGAAGGGGGCAGAATACAGGGTTTTAATGCGGTTCGGTCTGGTGCTAGCAAAGGCTGTGCTTTGCGGCGATCAGCTTCCAACAACTCCCAGTCGATGGCCAGACAGGGAGGCCCGTTGGGGTCACGGAGAAATAGGAAAAATTACTCCGAATCGCACATGTCTAGAAGAGACATCCCCGTCCCAGGATGTCAACGAGGCTCGCCAGATGCTGTGGTTTCTTCGTCAACAGGCAGCGCGGCTATTGCGAAAGCTGACTGTCAAAGCGCTTGTGGCAGAGGGGGCCAAATAATCGGGGGCGGGGGAAATGTCCCGCACAATGAAATCAAGGTAAGGACAGACAGGTCTGCGATTCGGAGAGTTGCCGTTGAGTATCCTTTATAAGGCCCATCGAGAGTATTGCACACCCATCCAGTTTCTGCCAGCTACTCCAGACCTCCAATATCAGTACGATTTTAGCAATGGGCTTTGTAAATAAAATAATAAATCTATGAAACCATAAAGCAATTTCAGATATTATATAAATTTATTTCTATTTATTAAATGGGGATTTCACACGGATAGATACTGCATAGGTATAGGACATACGAAATGCTTCTAGAGAATAAAGAACCTGACTTTAACGATTTGCATATCGACTCATTCAACAACACTGGAGCAGTTCCTCAACCCCTAGCGCCTCCACGGCACAGCTCCTACCCTCAAAAAGCATGGACTGGTTGTCGAAAATTCATCATCACATCTAAAGTGCCGTCGCCATTGTTGCTTCTTGAGTCCTGACAACCATTTCACAACATGCCGCTCCCGCTGCAGCAGCATGAACGGCAGCAGCGCGCCGCGGAGCAGGTTTTAGACCGGCGATTAAGACCAGTGTACGACATGGTTGACTCGCGGAACCTGAAAGGCGCATTGAAGCTCGTTAATACTCTTGTTCAGAAAGCGGGAAATGACCAGGCTCCGATTAAGGTGCGCTTCTATTAGTTACCAGATTCAGGTTACTTATACTAATGTAACGATAGTACCGTGCGACTTTAAGCGCATGCTACCAGTTGGCGTCGTTACTTGTGCAGTGTGGTAGGAAGTAGCGACGCGGGACAGCCTGCCAGGCTCGCTGTAGAGCTGTAGAGCGTGCCGTACAGCCGTGAAACTGCTACTGTGCGTGTGCTACCAGGCTTGATCTGAAGCGCAACGGCTCCCACAGCTATGAGTGAATCCTTGACGGACGCTGTTTGCGGTGATAGCAACGCTTCGCCGATCCCATTAGAAGAGCGCATTAGCGTTGTCGGGATTGCTTTCCCTTGCCAGACGGCTGCATTGGGCGTTTGATCGGCTTGGATGTGCGGAATGCGGTGCTTGTAATAGCGGGTAGTCATTGTTCCGGATCTTGAGCAAACCGGTAGTTGTTCCGAAGAAGATTAGGGTTCCTTGGAATACCGAGTGCTGTTTTTTCGAGATAAAGGCGTGGAAGAGGAAGGCCAAGGTTGGTCAACCTGAGATTCAGATGCTAAACCCGAAACCTCTAACTCTTTTTCGTCTCCCCCTCGCTTCCATCCTCCGTCCCCTTCCCCTCTATCCTCCCCAAACCCAAATTCCCCCCGCCCCTCCCTCCTTCCGACTCTGTCCCCCATTCCCAACACCCGCCTCCACTGCCTGCGCCTTTCTCCCCCCCCTCTTTTCCCTCACTCCCCCGGGCAGCTGGTGAAGGCGCTGGTGCTGTACCGCATGGGGCGGGAGGGGGAGGCGCTGGAGGTTTGCGGGGAGGTGCGGGAGGAGGGGCGCGCGGGGCAGCTCTCGGAGCGCACGCTCATGGACCTCATGGATCTCCTGGCCAGAATGGGCAAAGGTGGGCGGCATGCTCTGTCGTTTAGTTGAAACTGGAGGGGCAGGAGCTTCTGGTTGGGGCCAAGGGGAGTGGTGGAAACCTGTTTCGTAGGCGCGCATCTCTTTCCCCTCTGTGTCCCAAATCCCCACAACACCAACACTCCAACCCACCCTGCCCTTCCATCTCAGCCCACGCGGCAATAGAGGCGTTTGAAGTGGCAGCAGCACAGCAGGCGGGCAACTTGAAAGTGCAGGGGGGGGGTGATGAAGGGACCCTCCCGTCCGTCTATCCACCCGCTCCTCGCTCTCCCCTCTCCCCCCACCCTCTATCGCAGCCCACGAGGCAGTGGAGGCGTTTGAAGCAGCGGCAGCGCAGCAGGCGGACAATACCAAGCTGCAAGAGCTGCTGATGGGGGCGGCACTTCAAAGTCTCACTGACCTTGTATCCCCCCTTCTGAATCCCACCCCCTCTCAGCCCACGAGGCAGTAGACGCGTTTGAGGCGGCAGCAGCGCAGCAGGCGGAGAACATGAAGCTGCAGGAGCTGCTGGTGGGGGCGGCACTGAAGAGCCGCGGCTACGTGAAGATGCAGCAGGCCGCCATGCGCATGCACAAGAAGAGACCCAAAGACGACAGGTTCCTCCTCTGGGCCGTCTGTAGCATGGACCTGCAGGTGCGTGCATGACTATGGCTGTAGCATGGACCTGCAGGTGCGTGCATGACTATGGCTGTAGCATGGACCTGCAGGTGCGTGCATGACTATGGCTGTAGCATGCCTGTGGCTGTCACACAGACCTGAAGAGCCGTGGCTATTGGAAGATGCAGCAGCGCCATGCGGATGCGCAAGAAGAGGCCGCAGGATGACAATGCCTCCTGTGGGCCGTTTGTAGCATGGACGTGCAGGTGGGTCTCTGTCCTGGCTGCAGCACGCTGCCATGCGCCTGCACAAGAAGAGGTTACACGATGCACCCCCTTCATGGTGATGCAGGTGCAGGTGATGCAGGTAGCATGAACCTGCAGGTCCAGGTAATGCAGGTGATTCAGGTGAGGTGCCATGTCCTCTTTTCTCCGCTCGCCTGTTTCCTCTCTCCATCGCCCCACCGTCTCCCTCCATGTCCTCTTTTCGTTCGCTTCCTCTCTCTCTTTCCCAAACCTTCCTCCCCACCTTTATCTCCCACCACACTCTCTCAGTCCATCCCTCTCTGCCCTCCACCCAATCTCCCCTCACCACTTTTTCTCCTCCCAACTTTCTCTTTCCCCTCCCAACCTTCACTTTCCCCTCATCCCTTTTTCTTCCCACTCACTGACATCTCACGCCCCTTTAGGCATTCGAGAAGGAAAATCACGCAGTCTGCCACCTTCCACCGTCCGTCTCCTCCTTCCACCTGCCAGCTCCTGCTGCCGCCACGTCAGCACCGGGTGCCACATCAGCACCGCCCACACCCGCATCAGCAGCTGACGTGGCAAAGCAGCGGCGGCAGCTGCTCCAGCTGGCAGAGGCGATGGTCCAGAGAAAGGCACAGAGCGAGGGCGGGTTGAAATCGGCTGAAGGTGAGATGCGGACCTTGGGGGGCACCTTGGGGGGCAAGGCTTGGGGGGCGCAGACTTTGGGGCGGACCTTGGGGCGGACCTTGGGTTATGTGACATATTGACTCACGCGGTTGACATTTTGAGGCGCACCTCAAAGCATGCTGCACGAGCACGGTCATGTGGCCGCTGCTGTAGCTGGTAACCTATCCTGCTACAGCTGGCAAGATCCATGATTGATGTGGACGCACACCCAGAGGACGGCACTGCTTCTCCCTCCTCCCCCTCTCCCTCCCCCCCGTTCTCCCTCCTCACGCTTCTCCCTCCTCCCCTTTCTCCCTCCTCCCCTTTCACCCTCCCCCTCCTTCTCTCCCCTCCCCCTTCCCCCTTTTCCCCCTTCTCTCTCCTTCCCCGTCTCGTCCGTCTCGTTCCTCCCGCTCCTCCCCTGCACTTCGCCTGTATGTGGACCTGTTAAAGGGCAGGGCAAGGGGGAGGAGGTGGTGCGGATGGTAGCAAGGGCAGGCGGGGTGAGGCACTGAGGCGTCTCAAATCCAGATGTGCCCCTTCTCTCTCCTCCCCCTCCCCCTCCTCCTCCACACAACCCCCCCCCCCAACCCCCTCCCCTCAGCACTTCGCCTGTACGTGGACCTGTTGAGGCGGCAGGGCAAAGGGGAGGAGGTGGTGAGAGTGCTGCAAGGGCCCATGGCCGCCCTCTTCACAATCAAATCAGATCTGCTGCAGATCCGGGTGGGTGCTGATTAGTCGGCGTATATGAGTGCCTGTATGGGTGGGTGGTTGCTGTGTGTGCCTCACTGATCAGTGGGACATGCCTAGTACGTAGAGCACATGGTTTCTCAGTCCACTCGAAAATCGTGTGGTTTTTCTGTCTGCCTTACTGGTCTGTGGGGCATGTCTGACACGCACAGCACATGCACGCATGCTTATAACGAGTATACTCTTTCTTTGGGCCTCTCAAAAGCCAGTGCATCCATGCTTTTGTTAAGTATACGTGTGAGTCGTGTCAAATGTTGCTCTGCCTGCCTCAGCGGTTGGTGGGACATGACTTGGAATCGGAACTGACATTGCATAGTTTCATGTAGAGTATAGGAGACTTCAGGTTTTCCACTCTGCTGTAGTTTGTTCATCGGTTTTAACCACCTCACACCCATGCACATCCACCTGCACCCACTCACCCACCCAACCTGCACACGCGATCACACCCACCCTCACCCCACATCCCCCCCCTACACTCAACATCTCCCCCACACTCACTCACGTCTCTCTCACTCACGTCTCACTCACTCACGTCTCACTCACGCACCCCACACTTACACATGCGGTGTGACCGGACCCACGGTCCACAGGGCGAGGTGCAGCAGGACTTGGCGCGCTTCACTGATGCTGCTGCCACCTTCAAGGACCTGCTGGGCGTGAGGTGAGCGGGTGAGGGAGGTGCGGTGAGCAACAAGTGAGGTGAGCGGGTGAGGGAGGTGCGGTGAGCAACAAGTGAGGTGAGCGGGTGAGGGAGGTGCGGTGAGCAACGAGTGAGGTGAGCGGGTGAGGGAGGTGCGGTGAGCAACGAGTGAGGTGAGCGGGTGAGGGAGGTGCGGTGAGCAACGAGTGAGGTGAGCGGGTGGGGGAGTGAGTGAGCAAGTGAGGGAGTGAGGTGAGAAAGCGAGCGAGGTGAGAGGTTGAGGTGAGCAGGTGAGGGAGTGAGGTGAGAAAGTGAGGGAGTGAGGTGAGAAAGTGAGAGTGTGAGGTGAGCTCCGGTCTTTGCACCCCTGCGTACTGTTTCACAATCATCTTCACTCCTCTGTGTCTGTTGCTGCCCATGCATGCAGTGATGACGACTGGGTGGCATCCTTGTCCTATCTGGATTCGCTAATGCTAGCCCACCTACAGTCATCCCTCTCCACTCCTCTCAGCGAGGCTGTAGCAGCAGTCACTGCTGACGCTGCTACAGCTGCTTCTGCTGCTGGTACAGCCCCTGCCACAGCTGCTACAGCTGGTAACAAACCCGCTGCTGCTACCTCAGGAGGAGGTTTGGGAGGAGGTTCGGCGGAGGGTGGGAGGGAGTGGGCCACAAGGGAGAGCCGGCTGATGCAGGGCCTGTTGCTGCGGATGCTGCAGGGGGGAGGGACTTGGGGGGAGGGGGGAAGGGGCGGAGGAGGGGGGGATGGTGGTGGGGGGGGTGAGGGAGGGGTGGAGGGGGGTGAGTGGGAGAGTGTGTGTGCGGTGGGCGCGGCAGCAACGGCCCTGGATGTGGCGAGCAGGGCGCCGCAGAAGAAGAAGATTCAAGAGGAGGTGAGGGAACGATTGGCATTGTGAGGGGTATGGGGCATGGAGTATGGGGAATGATGGGGCATGTGTTATGGGCATGGGCATGGGCATGGAGTATGGGGAATGATGGGGCATGTGTTATGGGCATGGGCATGGGCATGGGCATGGGTTATGGGTCATGGGGCATGGGGAATGGGGCATGGGGAAGGGGGTATGGGGCATGGGGAAGGGGGGGTTTGGGGCATGGGGAAGGGGGTATGGGACATGGGGCATGGGGCATGTGGCGTGGGGCGTGGGGCATGGGGCGTGGGGCATGGGGCGTGGGGCGTGGGGCATGGGGGGGTATGGATTATGGGGAGTGGGGCACATGGTTTTTAGGTGGTTGAGTGCACCTTCCCAGAGCGAGCACCTTCCCAGAGCGAGCACCTTCCCAGAGCGAGCACCTTCCCAGAGCGAGCACCTTCCCAGAGCGAGCACCTTCCCAGAGCGAGCACCTTCCCAGAGCGAGCACCTTCCCAGAGCGAGCACCTTCCCAGAGCGAGCACCTTCCCAGAGCGAGCACCTTCCCAGAGCGAGCACCTTCCCAGAGCGAGCACCTTCCCAGAGCGAGCACCTTCCCAGAGCGAGCACCTCCCCAGAGCGAGCACCTCTATCTGTGTCTCTATCTCTCTGGAGCTTCCCTCTTCTTCCAATCCCCCTCATTTTTCTCGCCCAGCCTTCTCCTCCCCCCACCTTCTCCTTGCCCCACTTTATCCTCGCCCCTCCTCCTCCCCCCTCCTTCTCCTTGCCCCACCTTCTCCTCCACCTACCTTCTCCTTCCCCCACTTTCTCAACCCCCAGCGGTGGCCCTGTGTACGTCGGGCAGAGTGCTTCAGTCGGGCAGAGTGCTTCAGTCGGGCAGAGTGCTTCAGTCGGGCAGAGTGCTCCAGTCGGGCAGAGTGCTCCAATCAGGCAGAGTGCTCCAATCAGGCAGAGTGCTCTTGTCGGGCAGAATATATGGGAGGTTGGCGACATAAACTCGATGCCCAGACTGGAGCACTCTGCTTGACTGAAGACTCTGCTCAACTGGAGCAGTCTGCTCAACTGGAGCAGTCTGCCCAACTGGAGCAGTCTGCCCGACTGGAGCAGTCTGCCCAACTGGATCACTCTGCCCGGCGTGCTCAGGGGCAAGCGGCCTGTTAACCTGCTCCCGCCCTCCCCCACCTCCTAACACTCTCACTGTCTGCACCTCGTGACTCGTCATCCTTGTTTATCCCCCCTCCACACGCCACCCCTCCCACCAGCTCCTCCGGATCCTCTCCCGCCCAAGCAATCTCCGTGTTTCACCGTCTATGTATGCAATACCTCCCCCTCCACCAGCTCTTCAAGATTCTCTCTGAAGCGGATCGATTCTTCCAGGGCCTCAGGGACAGCCTCTTGGCACAGCACTCAGCGCACCAGCGTCTCTCGGGCAGCGGGCAGCCGGAAATGAAAAAAGTGGAGGAGGGCAGCGAGCAGGACGGGGCCCAAGGAGCAGAGGCAGGGGCAGAGGATCCTAGTAAGGCAAGCAGCGCCAGTAGCAGTGATGCATCAGCTGTGGAAGCAGCAGCGAGCAGCAGCAAGGGTGCGCGCGTGGCGAGGGGACCGTTTCTGATGCGCCTGGAGGTGCTGCTGAGGCGCATGCGCCTGCTGCAGTGGTTCGGGTGCAGCCCAGGGGAGGTGCTATCTGCTGCTGCCGACCTGGAGAGCGCCCTGCTTACCTACTTTGACAGGTGCCTACCTGGGGAGGTGTTATCTGCTTCACTCTCTCATTCTCACTCTCATTCTCTCAAAACACCTCTCATCCTCCTATCTGTGGTGCCTCAAAAGTCCTCCCAATGTTTATTTTGCCCGATCATTACCTACTCATCATCACTTCTCTCCGCCCTCCTTCCCACCCTCCCTCTCTTCCCCCAACCCTCTCTCTCAGGCATGGCGACATGATCAGCTTTGCCTCGGACGTCCAAGCCTACGCCCTGGCCCTGCCCACGGATGTCCGGGCCAGGCTTGGGGCCGAGCTCCGAAGCAAGCTGACAGGCTTGGAACCCCTAGGGGGAGAGGGAGGAGTCGGAACTGGAGAGAGCAGGGAGGAGCAGAGGGAGGGGTCAGGGAAGGAGGGGAGGAGTGAGGAGGGGGAGAAAGAGGGAAAGGAGGTGGGTGAGAGTGAGAGTGAGAGGAGGGAGGGGGAGGGGATGAGGGAGATGAGGAGGAGGCTGCGGAGGATAATAAGTGTGGAGCAGGTGGATGGGTCCATGGGTAACTGGCGGGCCCTGGATGACCGTGGTGAGTGCGTGCATGAGAGGTACGGATACATCTCATTTTCTTGTTGAGTCAGCTCTTTGGGGCCTCTCTGTCCCCCATCCCCATCCCCATCCCATCCCCATCCCCATCCCATCCCCATCCCCATCCCCATCCCCATCCCCATCCCCATCCCCATCCCCATCCCATCCCCATCCCATCCCCATCCCCATCCCCATCCCCATCCTCATCCCCATCCGCTCAATCCCCTTTCCCATCCCGTCCCCATCCCCATCCCCATCCTCATCCCCATCCCATCACCATATCAACCCCCCTCCCAATACCCAACCCCGTTCCTTAGTCCCCATCCCCATTCCTTCACTCTCCTTCCCCATTCCTATCACCTCAATTTCCTTTCTCAACAGTCCTCTCAATCCCCTCCCCCATCCCCACCCCCTCATCACCCAACCCTGCCCTTCCATCTCCACCAGCCCTCATCTCCCGCGCACAGCACTGCGTCCGCCTCTTCCTGGAAGCTTCCCCGCTCTCTGCCGCTCTGGACCCCCGGGAGAAGGGGCATGCGGACGAGCTGCTGCCCGTTGCTGCCTCCTGCCTCGTGGAGGTGAGTCGTTGAGTGCGGTGGAATGTGGTGCGGTATGGTGTAGTGTTATGCAAAGTGGTTCAATACAGTGGAATCTGGTGCGGTGCATGCATCTGGTCTCTGCTGGCATGCTCTGACTTTTGAGGCGCCTCAAAAGTCATCTGGTCTCTGCTGGCATGCTCTGGCCTGGTCCCTCAGGAGAAGGACGACCTGCTGCCCAATGCTGCTTCGTCCCCTGGTACAGTTGAGCACTGCAGTGCGATGCAGTGTGATACAATATGGTGCAGTATTCCAATGCGCCCCTCCTGCAGATATACCACCGACATCAGGCAGAGGGCGTGGTCGGCTGATTGAGCCAGTGCGGGTCCTCAAAGGGAGACCACCCACGGTTGAGGCGCTCTCCCTCCGCCCCTACGGTCTCACTCTCACATGTTCCCCCGTTGCCTTTCCCCCTCATCGCAGGTGTACCGGCGGCGCCAGCCAGAGGGCGTGGGCTATCTCATAGAGGCAATCCTGGTGCTCACCTACGGTGCCTCCCTCCGCCCGTACGTTGCTCTCTTACATTTTCTTGAGATGCTTTTACGTGATATGACTTTTGAGGCGCCTCAAAACCCATACGATGCTCTGTTATAGTTTACAGTGTTTGTGTGCTGTATGGCATTCCTTGCCTTGGGCCCAGTTGACTCGTTCGCTGTGTTCTTCCCCCATCCATTATTGTTAACTCTTGAAATGAGTGCAGTATTGTGACTCGTCAAAGTGCCACCATAGCACAATGCTGCCACCATAGCACAATGCTGCACTGCTAACCACAATGCTGCACTGCTAACCACAATGCTGCACTGCTAACCACAATGCTGCACTGCTAACCACAATGCTGCACTGCTAACCACAATGCTGCACTGCTAACCACGTTGTATCTCGTAGACCGTAACCATCCCTCACCCTCCCCACCACTGCAAAATTCAAATTTCCCACAATAAGTTTTTTCTCGACCACTCTCCCCTTCCCTTCCCTTTTCCCCATGTTTCCTCTCTGCAGCTTCAGTCCGCTGTTCAACACCATGCTCGTGAGCCTCTATGGCCTGCTGGGCTGCCCCTCGCTTGCCCTCGCCAGGTATTTGCCATCTGTAACCACATCCGGTAACCACATCTGGTAACCACATCCGGTAACCACATCTGGTAACCACATCTGGTAACCACATCCTTCCTGTGTTACAAACAGCACCTGCTGCTCGTCAGCTGTGGTGGTCGTATGCTCACCACCATGCTCGTTAACCCCTTGGCCATAACCACTTTCCGGCATCGGAACAAGTATCCGAATGTGTCCCCCTTGGTTCTCGCATCTCGCTCATGCCTCCCATCCATTCCCACCACCAGCTTCCACCAGCTGAACGGAAAGCACATACAGCTGGACACGCTCACTCACCTCATCCGTTCTTACTCCCCCTCTCTTCTTCCCTGTATTCCACCAGCTTCCAGCGTTTGAGCGCCAAGCACATACAGCTGGACACGCTCACGCACCTCGTGCTGCCGTACCTGCACCAATCGGCATCGCTCGCTGACGTCAGCGCGCTGCATGCTGACATGCGTGCTTTTTTCAACGACCACGTGTGGCGGGACAACGCTGATGTCAGCATGGAGGCTCTCAGGCGTGGCACGTTTTCAAAGGTGATGAACCCATGAATGCTTTCGTTAATGATTGCATTGCAGGGTGCAATTCTTGTTGCTGTGATGATTTCTGCGATGCTTGCAGCAACCCGTGCGAGTGAATCAGCGGAAAGCTGCAGCAATGCTTTCACCTGCAGCAATGCTTTCACCTGCAGCAATGCTTTCACCTGCAGCAGTGCTTTCACCTGCAGCAATGCTTTCACCTGCAGCAGTGCTTTCACCTGCAGCAATGCTTTCACCTGCAGCAATGCTTTCACCTGCAGCAATGCTTTCACCTGCAGCAATGCTTTCACCTGCAGCAGTGCTTTCACCTGCAGCAGTGCTTTCACCTGCAGCAGTGCTTTCACCTGCAGCAATGCTTTCACCTGCAGCAGTGCTTTCACCTGCAGCAATGCTTTCACCTGCAGCAATGCTTTCACCTGCAGCAATGCTTTCACCTGCAGCAGTGCTTTCACCTGCAAATCCTCTCCACTATCCCCCTCCCCCATTCCTCCTCCGCCCTGTCCTCCCCATGTCAGGTCCGTGAGTCCGCTGCCTTTCACCATCGCGTGCAGCACTCCCACCAACGCCTCCTCGTATCTTAATCATGTCCCCGCCACCCTCTTCCCCCTTCCGCCTTCCCATTCGCCCTCCATCCTTCTCCCTATGATTCTCCCTCCCGTGTCAGGTCCGTGAGTTTGCAGCTTTCCACAATCGCCTGCAGCACTTTCACTAGCACCTCCTCCTATTCATATTGTATTCCCACCACCCCCTTCCCCAATCTCCCCTCCCCCTGTCCTCCTTCCCCCGTGGCAGATCCGTGAGTTTGCAGCTTTCCACCATCGCCTAAATCACTCACACCAGCGCCTCCTCCTCTCGCCCAACTCCCTCCTCCTCTCCCTCCCCCTCGCCCTCCTGCCCCCCTCCTCCCACCCCTCGGCCCTCACCTCATCCCCCCAACCCAATCAATCCGCTTCGGCAGCTCCGAACCAAACCGCTGCTTCCGAACCTGTGGCGCAGGTTCGGGAGGTGCTGCAGGCAGCAGGGGGCGGGCGGGAGGAGGTTCGGCAGGTGGTTGCGGAGCAGCTGGGTCTGGTTAGGTTGAACGAGGACTGGGGTGTGCGGCCGTGGTGGGACCCCTTGCCTCTTCCTTTCACTGGACTCCTGGGACTCTTTGGAAAAGGTATTTCCTTGCCCTTGTATCCCCCATTCGTTTTGTTTAGTCTCAAAAAACGAATATCCTCCATTCGTTTTTTTTAATCTCGAAAAACGAATATCCTCCATTTTACCCTGTCTTCCATTCTACCGACCCGTCTCCCGCCTGGAGCCGGGGCATCCTTTTATGTGACTGATAATATGTTTTAGCCGCCTAAAAAATAGCACTTCGGCATGCGGCCATGCTGGGGCCCTCTTCCTGCCTCTGCTCTTGTAGTGGTCTGCTTGCGGCGTGTGGAAGGGGTACCATGTGGTGTTGTGAAGAATTGTATTACTGGTGAAGGCGAATGCATCCCTGGTGAAGGCGAATGCAGCCCTGGTGAAGGCGAATGCAGCCCTGGTGAAGGCGAATGCAGCCCTGGTGAAGGCGAATGCAGCCCTGGTGAAGGCGAATGCAGCCCTGGTGAAGGCGAATGCAGCCCTGGTGAAGGCGAATGCAGCCCTGGTGAAGGCGAATGCAGCCCTGGTGAAGGCGAATGCAGCCCTGGTGAAGGCGAATGCAGCCCTGGTGAAGGCGAATGCAGCCCTGGTGAAGGCGAATGCAGCCCTGGTGAAGGCGAATGCAGCCCTGGTGAAGGCGAATGCAGCCCTGGTGAAGGCGAATGCAGCCCTGGTGAAGGCGAATGCAGCCCTGGTGAAGGCGAATGCAGCCCTGGTGAAGGCGAATGCAGCCCTGGTGAAGGCGAATGCAGCCCTGGTGAAGGCGAATGCAGCCCTGGTGAAGGCGAATGCAGCCCTGGTGAAGGCGAATGCAGCCCTGGTGAAGGCGAATGCAGCCCTGGTGAAGGCGAATGCAGCCCTGGTGAAGGCGAATGCAGCCCTGGTGAAGGCGAATGCAGCCCTGGTGAAGGCGAATGCAGCCCTGGTGAAGGCGAATGCAGCCCTGGTGAAGGCGAATGCAGCCCTGGTGAAGGCGAATGCAGCCCTGGTGAAGGCGAATGCAGCCCTGGTGAAGGCGAATGCAGCCCTGGTGAAGGCGAATGCAGCCCTGGTGAAGGCGAATGCAGCCCTGGTGAAGGCGAATGCAGCCCTGGTGAAGGCGAATGCAGCCCTGGTGAAGGCGAATGCAGCCCTGGTGAAGGCGAATGCAGCCCTGGTGAAGGCGAATGCAGCCCTGGTGGGACCCATCCCTTTGCGCTTCCTCAGACCCTTCCCATTCTCTCACTCACTCTCCTCCTTGTCCCCATCTGCAGGCCAATCACCACCCGACAGCTGGACCAGCCTCGAGTCGCCACACAAGGTGAATGAACAGCCATATTCGGAAACACAGGAAAAAGCCCTCCTTTTGAGTTGATTCCAGTCAGTCACGAAAATCCCATTTCTAGATTCTAAAAATAGGTTGAAATACTATCTTAAGGCTCCCCGCGAATTTTTTTGCCATTCCTTCTTGCACGTTTCACCACGTTTGTTCCTTTTCACTTTCTTGTCTCCTCACACCACCAGCAACAATCTCGCGAGTCTCTGTTGCTACAGCATGCGCAGGCCAGAGGCCTCCTCCCCTACCTCTTCTTCCTCTCCCGCCCCCCCCCCCCCCCCACTCGTCCCACCACTTGTCCTCTCACTTGTCTTGTCTTGGCTTGCCTGCATTTTATCTCCCCATCTTTCCTTTCCCACTCTCGCTTCTCCCCGCACCACCAGCAACAATCCCGCGAGTCGCTGTTGCTACAGCACGCGCAGTCCAGAGGCCTCCTCCCCCGCCTGCTCTTCCTCTCCCTCTCCTCCCCCTCCCACCTCTTCCCACCTCAAGGGCCGAAAGGGGAGGTGGGAGCTGGGGTAGGTGCAGCTGCGGGGGGAAAAGGAGGGGAGGGCGCGGGGGGGAAGGGGAAAGGGGGGAAGGGGAAGGGGGGGAAGAGTGAAGGAGGGAAGGGGAAAGGGAGTGGAGGGGGGAAAGAAGGGAGCGGTAGTGGGAGCAAGGCCGAAGAAGGAACAAAGGCAATGAGTTTAGTGGGAGCCTCAGGGGGTGGAGAGGATTTTGAGGCGGTGCAAGGGGAGTGGGAAGCGGTGCTGCGGCAATACTGCCGGTTGAGTGCAGTTGGGGAGGAGGAGATGGAGCGGATGGCGGAGGAGGGAGTGGTTGACTCCGCCCTGGTGAGTGGCTGGGGATGAGAGAAGCAAACAGGAGCCACTTGTTGCACAAGAGCAACAAGAGCCAGGCGCCTTGTGGGGGAAAGACGAGCCCATGTTTGCTTTTCAGTCGACTCAAAAGCATGTTTGTACGCGTCTTTGACTTGTGAGGCGTCTCGGAAGCACCCATCGTAATGCGATGCACGTCTTTGCAGCGCTGCCTGTCCGTGGGAAGGGAGCCACGTGGATGGCTCTACTGCTCCTTTTGAAGTGACTCAAGAGTCGCCTTTGCAGCCCTGCCTGTGGTGTCAATTAAATGTCTTTACTGCACCGCTGCTGTTGCTTCACATTGCTCATTTTCAACCTCCCCTTCACGGCACCCCCCTCTCCCCATCCCCCTTCTCCTCCCCAGCAGCAGCCAAAGTCTCAAAACACCTCAGAAATAGTTTTCTCCCAATCCTTTTCCTCCCCATTCCCCCCCAGCAGCAGCAGGACCTGCCATCTCTGCTAGCCCGGCTGCTCTGTCTGCTCTTCACCGCCTCGCTCTCACTGCACCGCCTCCAATCCCCCACCACCGCTGCCACTACCAACACCAGCGCCACCACCAGCACCACTACTAACGACAGTGCACCCACAGCTGCTGCTGCTGTGAGTGCCAAGAGGGCGGTGGGACTGGTGCAGGCTGTATCTGCAGCTCTGGCCGCCATACTTCAGCTGCTGCACAAGGAATGCGTGCTGCCAGCAGCTTCCACCGAAGCTTCTGCAGAAGCTTCCCAGAAGCACCTTCCGCCTCTGGTGGTTTCTGGGAAGCTGCTGTCATGCGCTTTGGGATTGTTTATTGGTGAGTCTGCCTTTTGGTTGTCGATTATCATATCCCACTGGCACTCTACAGCACAGAGCCAACCACCTGTTGGGAAGAAGACAAAAAAGACCGCCCAGGATGCGGCCCAGCAAAGCCTGCCGGACGAGGTGGTTCGGGCAGTCAAAGCTGCCCAGGAGTTGGCTCAGGCAGGACTACAATCCCTGCGAAAGGCCTTGTCCGGTCAGATTAGCGGTAAGGGTCGTCTGCCCGATAATGACATGGCTTTTGCTCTTATCGAGTTGCTCCCTGGCGTGAACAGTAGTGTAGCTGTAGATGATCAAAGGACGGTAGCAGGGAGAGTGGTTGGCGATCTATGCAAGGTGAAAGAAGGGTTGAAGGGAGGAGCATCGGGCCAGCAGGATGCAAGCATCACTTCAACGGAAGGCAGAAGAGACAAGGAAAATGGACTGCAAAGAGATAGCGATGGTGATTCTGGAGAAGGTGGTAGTGGTGTGGATGTGGCGTCTGGTGATTGGAGCATCAGCTCTGCTGCTGAGAGGGTGCTGTGGAGCCATCGACGGTTCATTCAGCAACTCGTTGCCTTGCTAGATTTCCAGATTAGCATCCTAGGTTCCACTTAGGCAGTACACGGAAGGGTTTAAATGCTGGAGATTTTGACAGGGCACTAGTTCCTGAGATGTAGGTAGAAACATTTAGGTAGTTTTCGCCCACTTATATGGCTGTGATTCGATTGAAGAATGAGCTGTATTTTAATCAGCGAACCCACGCAGGTGTGCTTATAGTGGGTACGATTGTTTCGAGTTGAGACGCGATTCTGCGCCAGTTTCGCCCTCCCATTTTGTTTCGCATTTTTCGATTGTGTGGCTCTCGTCGCCCCTGTGTCAGTCCCATTTTCGATTCGCGAATCTTCATTCGCGAAGCGATACGTACCTTCGCGGACTTGCGATTTGGTGGGTGTGGTGGGTGGGTGTTGCTCCTTGCCTTGATTCATGTTGCGGCATTCATGGGACACAAATTTACTGCAAGGCGTGGTTTGATATGTGCTCCTCAGGCCTGTCGCTTGCAGGGCGTTTGCCCTGCTGGACCTTGAATTCCAGGGCTGGGTTGCCCTTGAAAACTGAAATTGGTGGGTTGAGAAAACTGTGGCCCTGATTCATTACAGGGCTGATTTCGGGCTTAGGTCTGGAGTGTTAAGGGTAATGTTTTAGGCGAGCCCTGGAACAAAGTCTTTCGAGCTTCCCCTCCCACTCCTCCCCCTCCCCTCCCCCCCCCCAAACTCCTCCATTCCCCCTCCCCCCGTTTCTATTTTGATTGCATTCAAGCCTGTCAAATTTGGAGTTGCGTGGCTGGACCACAGATTCAACTCAACCAACAACTGGTACTTCTACCAATTACAACCTCGCTCCCATCCCATGACACACAGACAGTAGCATGAACCAACATGCAGCAGCAAAACACATCTCAGATCCCCGTCATGTTGTGCACCCTCAGGCCTGAATGGGCTAGCAAGCAGCAAAACACATCTCAGATCTTTGCTAAGAGTTGGAAGAGGAGGAAGTCTGTTACGCGTGCGTAGTGAATGACACTAACTAGTTTTTTTATTGCTAACTAGCTAATTTGATACTTGCGGAGTGCAGCTGTCAGCTTTGTGGTAGAGCTGAGGCTGCAGAATTTTACGCGGCAAACCTGATTTACAGGGAGGAGTAAATTTCAGCCCTGAAGCCTAAAGGGCCGAGATTCGCCCCGACCCTGCTAAATACAGGGTCGTACATGCCGGGCCCCCTGATTTGTCCGGGGGGGCCAAAACGAAACGACAGCCCTGGTGCTCCTCTCATGGCTGAAACACAGGAGTGGGTAGCATGGGCCCATCACATGATATCATGTGCATAGATACTGCCCTATCTAGCTCTGATAAAGCTGAGCAATACGGCCTCCTACGGTTTTTATCAGTGGGAGAAAGCGGGCCCTATACTGCCGAACCTCTTGCAGTTAATCGCCGATGCCTGTGTCAGAAGCGGGTAGCTAACCGAGGCTTCGAGCGTCAGGATACAGCCTGAGCCGAGGCGAAGGCAATGGTGACAGCGCACGAAGCGAGCGATAAGAGCAGTGCGACAGCGCACGAAGCGAGCGACAAGTGCAATGCGACAGCGCACGAAGCGAGCGACAAGCGCAGTGCGACAGCGCACGAAGCGAGCGACAAGCGTAGTGTGACAGCGCACGAAGCGAGCGACAAGCGTATTGCGACAGCGCACGAAGCGAGCGATACAGGCAGTGTGACAGCAAGTGCTTCGAGCGGGAGGAGCACCGAAGTAGTGCTAATACAGCCGCAATCTCTCAACACGACCTGCTACGTGGCTGCTCCCACTACGCCAATCGTCGCAATCCTCGCAATCCTTGCCACGTGCAGCGCGCTGGTCCTCTCGAGCCATCATCTCACCCCGCGGAACGGCTGGTTTGTTCCGGCTTCCCGTCGTGATCATGTGATAGCTCGCGCATTCCGAAAGATAGAATCACGCGCTTACACCGGTGATGGCGGTGATAGCGGAGCTGCTGATCGGAGAGAGCGGGTGATGCGGGAAGAAGGAGGCTGGTTCGAAGAAGCGACGAGGCGATTGGTCAAGGAGCGACGGGTACTACTCGGGGTTTCCAGCCTGTTGAGTGTGAGGCTGACATGGTGGAAACAGCGTCGGGCGAGTGAGCAGCAACAGAAGCAGACCCAGCAAGCGCAGGACCAGGCGAGGACGCGCAGGAAGCAGGATAAGCAAAGACGGCGGGCGTTGAAGCAACGCGCACGTGCATCCAGAGGGGCTTCAAAATCAGCAACTACCGGAGTAGAGTTCATAGACAGACTAGCTGATACGTTGCCAATTCCCAAGGAGCCGAAGGTGACCGTTGGCGAAATCGTGGTGCAGGCGTTACAGCTGCGGATACATGGTAACCCGCTGGATCCCCAGAAGCTGGCGCTGTACATGAGTGCAAGGATGAACGCGTCGGGAAGCATGCTCAACCCTAACGCGTATACGATGCTCGCTGATACCATTTGGATGAACGCGAAGTACAAAGGAAGACGTGTGGGGAACACAAAGGTGACACACACACACACACACACATACACACACACACACACACACACACATACACACACACACACACACACGCACGCACACAGTCGCACACCCCTTCCCCCTCTCGAACAACCCACACACTATATCCCAATTTCATGCTGTTTCCCTGGTCCACCGCTTCTCCTTTGTATCAATACCCCCCGGTCGACCGCACAATCCACCCCATATTGTGTTTGTTTCTAAATGCACCTCCGCCTTTTCCCTACTCCATTTATCCACTCTCCATTCCACACCATCATTTCACACCTCCCCCGCATCCCAGATTCACAATGTGCAAGTGAAGGGACGCACAAGTGCGCCGTTTGCTGTGCCCATGAAAGTTGTTGACTTCCCCATTGTGTCCAGCACCAGCTACAGTACACTCGTTGCCGTCATGAATCAGAAACTGCCCATAGATGTGAGTGCAGCCAGCAGATCATGTCCATGGAGTGTACTTTACGATTTCTAAATTAAATTGTTACGCTTGCATTGAGCAGTTGGACCTATGTGATGCTTGTTCAGTTCCTGGGCCATTTTGGGACTTAAGCCTCCCCCAAACACCCTTCCCCTCCTCCTCCCCCCACTTCTCCTCTCGTCTTCGTCCCTCTGCCTGCCTTTCTTCGTTGCTCTCTCTCTTTCTTCCCATCCTGGCTGCTTTACTTCAGGTACTGATAACTACACTTGCCCGAATTCGTTACAATGGAGTGACCTCACCACAAGTCAAGGTAAGCAGTCTAAAATTCATGATTTGTTGTCACATATGACCAGAGCTGGCTGGTGAAATTTGTATTATTCCTGGAATTCCTCATGAGCTCTCGTGCATTATTGCTGCTTACTTATCAGGCATACGTGAGATGCAAGGCCATTGTGAACCCTCTCACCATCCAAGTAATCTCCCAAGTATGTGGGAGTTCAAGCATTGGCCTCTAATATTTAACCCCTGCAGTTAATGCAACACGTTATCTACCACCTATCATAGAGGGCACAGCCAGGTATTGCTGGTGCGAAATTGGCAGTGGCCAGCCATCAATATGTTCTGTTTAGTATGACGATTCCCTACCATATTTGACTAGGTTTATGATGTCAAGTCGTGTAACGTGGTATAGTGAAGGATTTATCAGAAGTCATAGTGTATATCGGAGCGCGAGTTCTGGCGCGAGTATGGCCATTTCAGCTCCCGCCAAATCGGTAGAACCCCATTCATAAATTGTAGCTCCCAAACCGCCAACACTCACTGAACGGACTTCTCTGAATCGATATTCTGCACAGAACTGCCAAATCCAACCGTTGGTTAGGAAAGACTTCGCCATGCTTACGTATGCAGACCGCGATGAACTCGTCCCTGCGAAACCAGGCTGCGCCACCCCGACGTGGTCGACTCTCTCCCCTCCAGAATCTCGTCTCGACTGGAAGGGAGCCAATTCCCAGGGCTAAGGTTCTCGGCTCGCAGTCGCACGCTATTCATTCCACCCCACCCCACCCACTCACCCATGCACTGCCGCACTCACGGACCGCGGTACCCACCCTGACGACCACCGCTGTCTGCTGGTTGGCCGCCACGACTTGGATCTTGTCGTCCGCGGTAAACCGATTAATCATCGTTCCTCCTGACCACCTGATGTTCCCTCACACTTGGACTTCGTGAGCCACGCCTCACGAGTCCTCCTTCCGAACGCTGTCGTCGAGTCGTCACGACTGACTGTGTGCTCGGTCAAATAATCAGTCAAGCCGACTATCGCTGTCAATCGCCGTACCGTGGGAGCACCAGCATACGGCACTCCTAACCCAGAAAGCCACTGACAGTCACCCGCCTGTTCACGCGCATACTGAGGTGCCTCGAAAGGTCGCAAGAGTAGCAAGAGTGATAATCACACTGTTATTCACCAGCTTTCCACCCCTTTCCAGACTCTCGCATTCTAATACTAACACCAGTACGCACGCATTACAGTGTAGAGTGAAGCAGCAGCAGTCTATCTCGCACTTCTTCCAAGCGCTTATGGCTGCTGCGCTCTTGAGGATGCTCCGCGCGTCGCCAGTGGCGCTTTTACTTCTGCTGTTACTCCAATGCTACCATTGCCACGTGGAAGCTCAAGGCGGGAAGTGCGACTTGAACGCAGGCTCGTGAGTCTCTTCTTCAGTCTAGAATCTTCAATCATGTGCATCTTCAGGCCAAAACCTCGCCCAATTTCCCTGCAATATTTGGCGTCCTCCGTTCGTGCGCACCTAATTCCCTACTCGGAAGTAATGCACCTGAAGACGAAATTCCTTCAATCCATGGTGTTTAGCCCGTTCCAGTGACCACCTCTCAAAACCGTTTTCCTAGCTGAAAATTTCATCTCCTACCCTTCGTCGTTACCATATACCTCAACTACGCATTGGCGAGGAGGGGAAAGAGTGAGCGGAAAGTCACTGCTGCTCTTTCCTCTGGCCAGGGCGAGCTAGTATTCGTATGATCAGCTGCTCGTCGCGACCAAATGGCGCACGACCCCGCATTGGCGAAGGAACTCACGAGTTGGACGAGCAGCACAGCCGCTCCCTCGCTCCGCCTCCTCCTCTGTCGCCGCACTCACTAGTCGCTCTCACCACTCACTTCTCATCTCTCGTCTCTCATCTTCCTCCATCATCCCTGCTCACCACTGCCGATGGGTGCGCAACCCGTCTCTCCCCAAGCGCTACAGGGGCTGCACCTGCAAGAGCACCGATGCCCCCCAGCCTCACTCCCTCGCGCTCTCACGTCATCTCTCACCTCTCGCTCTCACTTCCCTCTCACCACTGCAGATGGGTGCGCAACCCGTCTCTCCCAAAGCGCTACACAGGGTTGTCGTGCAAGAGCATCCGGTCGAGCCTCAACTGCCAGAAGAACGGCCGCAAGGACACGGCGTATCTCAACTACGAATTCAAAAGCCCCGGATGCAATATCCAGAGGTACGAACCAGTTTAGACTGCGCAATACCTTGAGTTTACAATGCACAGGACTACATCAGCTGCGAGTGGCGCAGGTGCAACAGTAAGAGATGCTTGGGAGCAGCGAAAAATATCCGTACAAAAGACGTACAAAGGCTTGGACGTGTACTGAAGGAACGTTAGTAGTGAGCACCACAAACAGGAACCTGACTGACGTGTTTCTCCCGCCAGAAGTGAGCGTTTTCTTTCCAATGGCTCTAAAGACATGCTTTCTACGCCCAAATTCCTGTCCGGCTCCTCCCCGCCCAGCTCCTCCCACTCCTCGTTGCCGTCACTTTCTACTCGCAGGAGCGACTCCCCCTGTCTTATCAACCCTCCATTAACCGCTCCCGTAACCCTGCTCCCGTGCAGGTTCGACCCGAAGGCGTTCCTGTCGATGATGCGCAACAAGGTGTTTCTGGGCGTGGGCGACTCGTTCAACCCGAACCTGCAGCACTCCGTGCGCTGCCTTGTCGAGAGCGTCGCCGCCACTAAGGACGTCAACGGCGCGCTCTTCAAGACGGGCCTCTCCGCGCAGGGCTACGTCGTGCCGCAGTACAACGCCACGTTCCTCACTATCGCGTCCAGCTTCCTGGTCGACGCAACCCCCGTGGTACGTACCGTGAGGTGTTGCCTGCGTGGACAGGCGGTTGTGTCTCCGCGCAGGGCTACGTCGTGCCGCAGTACAACGCCACGTTCCTCACCATCGCGTCCAGCTTCCTGGTCGACGCAACCCCCGTGGTACGCTGAAATGCGTCGTAGTTCCCATCCCACTCGATTCCCGTGCGGTGAAGAATCTCCGCGCAGGGCTACGTCGTGCCGCAATGCAACGCCACGTTCCGCACCATCGTGTGGAGCGTCCAGCAGCAGCCCTTCAGCACGGACGGTGACCCTGCGCGTGCTCAACAAGGGACGCCCTTTAGCCTCTCTGCGTCCTTCCCTCATGTTCTCTCCCCTCCCCCCTTCCCATTCCCCTTGCATGCTACAGGGCGCGGCGTCCAGGAGGAGTCCGAGGAAGGTGGTGAAGCTGGACGGCCCCAGCAAGTGATGGCCCTCCCTGCATGTCCTCACCCCTCCCACCCCTCCCCTCCCTTCCCTCCTCCCTTCCTTGCATGCTTCAGGGAGCGTCGTCCAGCAGCAACCCGTGGAAGGTGAACCTGGACGTGCCCAGCAAGGAGCTGGCGTTAAACCTCTCTTCATACGTTCCTGATGCCGGCCCCCCTCTTACCCACCGTGCATCATGCAGGGATCGGTGTCGAGCAGCAGTCCGTGGAAGGTGAATCTGGACGTGCCCAGCAAGGAGTGGACTCCGTTTCTGCGCCACTCGCACTACGTGGTGTTTTCTGCCGGCCACTGGTTCACCAATGTACGTGTGTGCGTGATTGAGAGTGGGGCGCTGCAGGTAGTGTTGTACGCGCAGGCATGTGAATGTGCATGCGTGAGTGGCTCCGCTCGCACTACGTGGTGTTTCTCTGCAGGCCTCTGGTTTACCAATGTGCGTGCGTGAGTGCACGAGCGAGTGAGCAAGTGAGTGAGGGCGATGCTTTCCTGTCAGTGTAGCTGCAATATACAGAGCGAGAGTGTGAGACATGCAAGGAATGGAGCCCATTCTTCAGGCACCGCACACTATGTGGGCTTCTCTGCAGTGCGCGAGTGGACCGTTGCACAGCTGTGTTCTGGTTCCACTCAAGATCGTGGTCGTGGGTCGCTGCAATCAGCTTGCAATTAGTCGTCGTACATTTGAATGTGTGTGAGTGTGCCGTCCACCACATGCAGGAAACTCATACCCCTCTTTCCGTTTCCCTCTTCCTACCCCACCTCCGCACATGCCCAACCTGCAGTCTGGGAACCTGAGGCAGTGGTTTGTGAAGAAGCAGCAGCAGAAGGGCATGACGTCATCAGCAGCCATGACGGCCGCATACACGACAATGCGCAACTACATCGCGAGCTCCGGCTACACGGGCCTGCCCATGGTGCTCACCTACACGGCCTCGCACTACGAGTCCGCGTTTGCTGCCACGGATTCGGTGAAGGCATGCAGTGGGGCCAAGGGGCCCATGACCTCCAAGCAGATGGCGTTTGCTTCCAAGAAATCGGACGCGCTCGAAGGGAGGACCGCTGTGGTGAAGGTGAGTGTGTGTGTGTGGTGGTGGGGCCTAATACCTCCAAACAGATGGCGTTTGCTGTAATCGAGGAGCGCAGTGTGAAGGTTAGTGATTTTTGGTGTGTTGGAGAGTACGCTTGTAGTGAGGGTGGCAGGTAGCAAATGGCTTTAGGGGTCTTGAGTTTTCAAGACCCATCTGATCCTGCCATATGTTTCCATTCAAATGCCAAAATATTCTCTTCCTAAATTGCTGGTATTGCTTCAGGTGTTCCAAGGCAACCCGACCTTCAAGGTTCTTGATGTCAGCAAGGCCAGCTTGATGAGACCCGATGCACACATGGCGAAGTTCAGGGCAGGCACGTCGGACGATGACTGCTCTCATTTCTGTGTCCCCGGCGTCCCTGACACATGGTCCGATCTGATGTTCTCTTACATGACCAAGTCTATTTGACATAACGTTACATAGTAGAGCACTTCTAGTGGCTAAACTTCATTTCTCTGGATCTGAAGCTTCCTTATTGATGATGGAAAACTTGTGTACTCATTTACTTTACAAGATCCCCGTGCATCTCAGTTTTTCTCTACAGTTGCTTTTGACTCCGATTTCGATGCAGTTTCTCGAAATGCCCAGGCGGCATTTTTTGGGGGCCCGTTAGAAATGCCTATTGTGGCCATAATGGCCATGATGCCTGCCAAACAGGGCCCAAATATCCAGCTGTGGAGACCCCCCTGGTCTGAGGCGCAGCGCCGCCCTTCTACAGTCATCGCGGCTCGAAAACATGCATGCACAAAAGTGAAGAGGTGGTTCTGATTTGCGAAGAAAAATAGTTCACCCTTTCGTCGAGCGTACGACTGTAATGTAAATCGCAAAACCTCGTGGCCGACCCCAGTTGGGGTTCGGGCGATCGGCGCTGCTGGTGTGGCGGGGGGACACAACCATATGTGGTGCGGGTGCAGCTTTGAGCCGCCATTCACTGTTCGCTTGAACGAGGTGGGCGGAAGGGGAAGGGCTTCGCGCCGCAACGCGAACCACTCCATAGCCGGCTCTGCAACAGACTTCCCAAGCCAAGTGAAGTGAGGCTGGTGACCCTGCCTAACCGTTCTCAAACGTTTGTAAACTCAAAGAACCTCACCGAATACGAGTAGAACAAATCTTTGTGGATTATGTAGCACAAACCAAAGCTGCTCTGCCAGGCATTTCAGTTGTTATAATGACCCGAGATATCTAAGTGGCTCACGCGGCAAGTCAAACGGGGTGGCCGTATCTCGGTCAGCTCGCCTCTATTCTTTTGCTTATTTCTTTCTTATCAGCGCCGCACAGCCCCGAGCCTCGGCAGTTTTATAACGCCGCATTTCTCGGCGAATCTCGCGCCATTCTCGCTAATCTCGGCGCGTTACGTTGTAAATTTCGTCGATTTTTTTCGCGAGATTCACGAGAATGGATTTCCTGCTGCTGCTCCTCGTCGTAACGTCGGCGCTGGGCTTGACGGGACCCCGTTGTCACGTGGAGGCCTCTAATGCCACGTCGCCGGATTCCGCGCAGCCGCTGTCGCAATGCGATCTGAGTGCCGGCCGGTAAGTCGGACGGCGATCTCTCTCCACACCACCGCGTTCGTTGCAATTCGCGACGATCGCGACCATTCCGAGTCCCTCGCGACCGTCTTCATAACGCGTCGGGTTACCCCCTTACAGCGCCTACACGCGTTGCACCTGTCAACACATCAACCTTTTTCTTCCTTCTATCAAGGGTTACCCCCTCCTCCTTTCCGTCCAAATCTCCATTCTATCACGCCCCCCGCGTCGCCTACTAGCGAGGTGCATACTAACGATTGCATCACGCGTTACAGCAAGCCGCCGCGAGTTATCGCCGCCAGAGGATTTTCGTACGCCTCTTTCCCTCTCCCTCCCCCTGACTTTTGAGCAGACCGAAGAGTCTCCAAAGCCAACTGCGTGCGTAGCCTCTGACTCGGACGCGTTACAGCTGCCAGAGTAATCTCTCCCTCTTTACTCATTCTTACTCACTCTTACTCACACTGAAATCTCCCTCCGCCTTGTAACCAGCTGGGTCGGTGCGCAACCCCCGGGTCAAGCGCTACACACGCCACAGCTGCCGCTGCAGTTTCTTTAGCCTCTCACCCTCTTCTGCACTCATCTCTCCCTCAGAATCAGCTGGGAGCGCAGTGGCATATCTCGTGCATGAAGCGCTGCACCGGCTACAGCTACCAGAGCAATCCCTTCTCGCTCCCTCTCCCTCTCTCGCAATCGTCTCTCCCCCTCTTTCCTAAGGCAGCTGAGCGCGCAACCCCTGGGTGAAGCGCTACACGGGTTTTAGCTGCCAGAGCAATGTCTTGAGCCTTTCTCCCCATCTTCTCCCCTTTCCCACACTCATCCCACCCCATGTTTCTGAGCCAGCTGGGTGCGCAACCCGTTCGTGAAGCGCTACACGGGCTACAGCTGCCAGAGCATTCGCTCGCAGCTCAACTGCGACCGGAACGGGCGCCCGGACTCGGAGTATCTTAACTACGAGTGGAAGGCCCCCGGGTGCAGCATCAAGAGGTCATGCTCCAACTTAACTCTCTACAGTCACATAAAAACACTAATCAACACTTTTACATATCTATATATGCATGTACATATGTGTGTACGTGTGTGTGTGTGCGCGCGCGCGCGCGTGGATGTGTGTGTGCGGGTGTGTGTGCGTATGTGCTTGTAAGTGTGTGTGTGTGCGTGTGTTTGTGAGTGTGTGTGTGCGTGTGTGTGTGCGTGTGTGTGCAAGTGTATGTGTGTGTGTGTGCGCGAGCGCGCGCGTGTGTGTGTTTGAGTTTGTGCGTGCGTGTGTGTGTGTGTAAGCGCGCGCGTGTGTGTGAGTGTGTGTGCGTGTGCGTATGTGTGTGTGCATGTGCGTGTGTGTGCATGGGTGCATGTGTGCATGTGTGTGTGTGTGCATGTGTGTGCATGTGTGCATGTGCGTGTGTGTGCATGGGTGCATGTGTGCATGTGTGTGTGTGTGCATGTGTGTGCATGTGTGCATGTGTGTGTGTGTGCATGTGTGTGCATGTGTGCATGTGTGTGTGTGCGTGCGCGTGTGTGCGTGTGGGCGCGCGTGTGTGTGTGCGCGAACGTGTGTGTGTGTGTGTGTGTGTGTGTGTGTGTGTGCGTGTGTGTGCGTGTGTGTGTGAATGCATGTCATTCAATCTTACGGCAGACACCACTCTCCCCCCTCCCCCTCCCCTCGTTCTCCTGTCGTCCCTCCCCAGGTTCAACACCGCAGCCTTCCTCAGCACGGTGCGCAACAGAGTCTTCATGTCGGCCGGCGACTCTTACGCCACCAACCTCTACCACGCGCTGCGCTGCCTCATTGAGACCACCACCAAAGTCCAAGTAGGTCAACCAGGTCAACCAGGTCATCGAGGTCAATCTCAGATCTGTAGTTAGATCCTATGCCACTAGCGTCTGCCACACGCTGCACTGCCTCATCGCGACCACTGCACAAGTCAAGGTCAAGGTAAGTCAATCAGGTCAAACATACCAGGTCTGTTATTGAATCATATGCCACCAACCTCTAGCACGTACTGCGCTGCCTCGTCGAGACCTCCGCACAGGTCAAGGTAAGTCAACCAAGCATATTAGACACGATCTGTCATTCCATTGGTGTGCCATCAACTTCTGCCATGCATTGAGTGCACCCTCTCAGTCGTTGGTGTGACTCACAACTGCCATTCTCTCTCTTTTTGAGACATCTAAAAAATTACCCTCCCTGCATCACCATCAGGACTACGGCATGAGCTCGGCCGTCGGGATGGGAGTTAAGGCGTCCGGATTCAGTGTACCATGAAATTTTGTATTGTTGCTCGTATCATTTGACCCTTCATGTCATCTTCCCTCTCTGCTTCGCAACCAGGACTACAGCACGAGCTCTGCGTTTGGGACAGGAGTGAAGGCGTCCGGATTCAGCGTACCGTCGCACAACTTCCTCTTCCTCCGCCAGTCCACCAACTTCCTCGTCGATTCCGAGCCTCAGGTATGTTTCCGCCCACGCGCATCCCGAACCTCTTTTAAGTTCGGTTTCCTCTCTGTCATCTCAATCTGCTTGCCTGTCTTTCGTCTCTTTTCCCTTCTTTCTTCCAGTTCTATCTCCTGTTCATGCTCTCTACCAGGGGCCTGTGGTTGGTAGGTGTTCTCTCTGGCCTTCTTTTGCTCCCCTCTCTACTGCCGTTGTGTCCTCCTCCACTCCTCTCCCTCTTCATTCCACTCCCTCCTCCTCCCCCTCTGAAAGGTCTCTACTCCATCCATGTTCCTCTCTCCTCTCCTCTCTCCTCTCCTCTCTCCTCTCCTCTCCCCCTCATCTCCACACTCCTCTTCGCCGTCTCCAAGGCGTCAGCGTCCAGCAAGGGCTTTTGAATGGTGCATCTGCACAAGGACTCTACTCTATGCCCCTCTCTCCCCTCCCCTTCTCTCATCACCTCCCCTCCCCACTCTTCTCCACCCCTCTCCATTCCTCCCCGCTCCTCTCTCCTCCGCGTACCAGGGTTCAGCGTCCAGCAAGGGCGTGTGGACGGTGCGTCTATGGCAGGCAGATCCCAAGTGGGCAAAGCTCATTCCACATGTCAACTACGTGCTCTTTGCTACTGGCCATTGGTTCACTAACGTGAGTGCACTATAGCGAGCCTAGCTCATCCCTTATCTCAACCATGTGCTCTTCACTGCAGGCCATGTGAGATCACTAGCATGAGTACGCTCGCATGACTAGGGTATCGTTAATGCATTAACCGAAATATGTAAAATATCAAACTACTCCCTTTCCATTCGGGCCCCCTTCACTTCACCCCCCACGTAGGCCCCCTCCAACACTCGCGACTACCGCGATAACAACGGGAAGCAAATCAGCATCAATTCAATGAGGGCCATGCGCACCGCAATCCGGACCGTCCGTCAGACGATCCAATCCACCAACTTCCGCGGCATGCCCCTGTTCCTCTCGTACACGGCAACACACTACCAGAAGTCGTTCCCGCCGCAAGATTCCATGAATGACTGCATGGGTGCTAAATCGCCTGTGGGAAATAACGTGGTGGCGTATGCGGAAAAGAATACCTTCTTCATGCAGGCGCGAAATCAGCTCCGCTCGGTAAGAACGAAGCCGGCGTTATCCCCTTGGATAATCAGTTCTTCTTCCAGATTCTTTTTTTATTTCTTGATGCTTTCCATTCTTAAGCGAGCCCTCTTCCATGTTTTGTGTGGGTGGGTGCATACGTGCGTCCATGTGTGTGAGAGCATGTGTGCGTGTGTGTGTTCTGATCTCTCCATGCTTCTTCTCTCTGCTTACCACCTTCCCCTGCACGACTCCTTTTCTCGCTGGATGTGGTATGCTTTAGGTGATGAGGAACTCGAGGTTCAAAATTATAGACATCACCAGGGCTACACTGTACCGTCCGGATGCACACTTGCAGAAGTACGGGGAGGAGTCAGAGGATTGCTCTCATTGGTGCGTTCCGGGCGTGCCCGACTCATGGGCTGACATTGTGTATTCCTATGTGACTGGCTCACTAGCGTGAAGGATGCAGCATGTTTGATAATCTAACTCAGGAAGTCATACCTCATGATTTGCCTGAGATGATGATTAGAGCTGGATACTGGCTACGTTTTATAGTGAGCATTAATTGTGAGTGTAGCAGAAACTATGTTTTAGCTCTTTGTCTTTGTGTGGGTATCGAATTACAAGAGCCCGATAGATGATTTGAACCCCCGATAGTGGCCAGGAACCAGGATCACCTGTAGCGCGGCTTGACGAATTACCGAGCGCGGTTCGTCACACATTTTCAAATGCCAGAAGTGCGCGAGGTGTCGAAACCAGGGGAAGCTGTTTTCTCACACTATGCACGGCACGCAGAACACGTAGTAACTGACCACACAAAAAAGAGGCTGTCCTTGTGATCTTTTTCCCTCAGTGCCTTTTATGCCGCACCAATCGCACGCGAACACTTAACGGCTGTGCTGGTCCAACATAGACCTTAGGACTCATATGTTCTACGTCCAGGTTCACTTTCCAAATCATAGGCTAGGCTAGAGCAAGTAGTCTCTGGTTGTCGAGAAGCTGGACCAATGCCGAACCGCCAGCTGGCAGCGATGCAGCTACGTTGGCCTGTGTTGCACGTTCGGAAGGCTCCGGTCGCATCGCCTTCAAGGAGGAGAGCACTGGTTCCGCTTCTGGCGCTGCTGGTGCTGGAAGCGGCACTTGCGGCGCCCGCCGCGGCTACGGATAACGGGACGCTTTGCGACATCACCGCTGGCGAGTAGGTTGCGGTCTATCGTTCCGCCTGAAATCCTGTGGTCTATTTTTATTTCGAGAAGCCTCAAGAGTTGTTGAGCCTCAGGCGCCGCAGTAATTTCTGTACATTCTTACGTTGCGCGAACGATAGGTTAGCGGTGTGGGTATGTTGCCGTCATTGGCGCCAGGGAAAAACATCTGCCCCCGCAATTGGCAGTAACCAATGTGCCGTTGTTGGGGAATCGGGTAAAAAATTAATGCGCAAAGCAACGAAGCTAACTGTGTTTGCATTTCTCGTGTGAATTACTAGTAGCGTCGCTTTTGAGAATTCTCAATAGCGTCGTCGCGTGGGTTTCACATCCCTCGTGTTTCATCTGTTCCTCGGTGTGCAATGCAATAACGCTCTCGAGACTCTCGTCTGCATTAGCGCTCCCTACGTCGTTTAGATCTCTCTTTCCGCCGGTACTGTGTGCGTCACCTTCTCATCTTCTCATTTCGATCGCACGATATGTAATAGGGTTGTCTAGTAGTGTCTCGTGAGACTTCTTAAAGCGTGCTGGAATGTTGTGCATTTCATTCCAAATTCTTATGAGAAGTAGGTGCCTCAAGTCCGCTGCTCGTGTTCGCCGTCCCCTCTTGCCGTCGTTTCTTAACGTCAGTTATAACCGTCCCGTCTTTCCGCCCCCTCTTTCTGCCTCCCTTCGTCGTTCCCATCTTACCGTCCGTTCTAGCTATCCCGTCGTTCAACCTTCCCTTTCCGTCTCCTTTTTTGCCGTTCCCATCTTACTGTCCCCTCTCACCGTCCCGTCTTTCCGCCTCCTCTTTCTGTTTCCCTTTCCCGTTCCCATCGTACCGTCCGCTCTCACCATCCCGTCGTTCCATCTCCCCTCTCTGTCTCCCCTTGTCCTTCCATCTTTCCGCCCCCTGTTTCCGTCCCCCCTTGCCGTCCCGTCGATCCGTCCCCTCTTGCCATCCCCCTTCTCGTCCCTTCGAACCGCCTCCTATTGCCATCTGCTTTGCCGTCCCTCTTCCCATGCACTATTTCTATCCCCTCTTCCCGTCTCCGATTCGCGCCCCCTGTTGGTGTCCCTTATTGCCGTCCCTTATTGCCGTCCCTTATAGCCGTAACCTATTGCCACCTGCCGTTCCCTATTGCCGTCCCGTCCCCTCTTACCCTCCTCGCTTGCCGTCCCTTCGTGCCCTCCTGCCGCTCCCTCTTGCCCGCCCCCCTTGCACCCCCCCTAAATCCTGATGTCTTTCTCGATTCAATAGTCTCTATCGGCCCTCCTCTCACTTTCCCCCTCCCTGAATCTCATCGCGCCAGATGGATCTACACCCCGCGACTCGCGCCGCAATACACGGCGGAGAGCTGCAAGAGCCTGGGACGCAACTTCGCGTGCCAGCGCAACGGGCGGCCCGACTCGGAGTACGAAAAGTACACGTGGCGCAGCTTCGGATGCACCATCGCGGAGTAAGTCCTCCCCCCTCCCCCCATGTCCGCCCTCCCCCTCATCTGCATTGCTCCCCATGTCCGCCTCCCCCCACATTGTTTTCCATGCCCTTTCCCGCGTTGCCCTCCATTGGATTGCTCCCCGTGCCTTTTCCCCCCTTTTCCGCATGCCATCCCGTATCTCTCCCCTCATTGCCTCCATGCCCTCCTCGCAATGCTCCCCACGCCCTCCCCCAGGCGTTGCCTCCTATGTGCCTTCCGCCTCCCCCTCTCCTCCCCCCCGGCCCTCCTCCCCCCCCTCTTCCCGCTGACCTCCATGCACCTTACTAGTGGTGTTGGCCTTCCTAGTATGGACCTTCTCACACATTCCTCTATTTCCACCGCACTCCACCAGATTCAAGCCGCTCTCCTTCCTCACGCTGCTGCGCAACAAGGTCTTCCTGGTCGTGGGGGACTCGCTCACCATGAACCTCTTCTCCTCGCTACAGTGCCTCGTCGAGACTGTCGCAACCACGGAGGTGACCACCCGTTATAGTCACAATCACTCAAAGTGACGCCCTGTTATTGTTGCATGTCCTGTTTTCTCAAAGGTTCCCACTTCCTCCTCTTCTCCTCTTACCGTCCCCACCCACCATCATTCTCCCCTTGTAATAAACAATCTCCCCTTGGGCCTTGAATCCAACCATTACCTTTACCTTCATTTTTTCCCCTCTTCTAAACCTCCCTATCTTTCTCCCTTCCCTTCCCTCCCTCCACCTTCATCCTTCCCTCCCTCCTCCAACTCCCCTTTTTCTTCCCCAGTACAGGAACTGAAAGAGCCTCTATTCTCTGGAAGATAAAGAACCCTTGGGATCATCGTGGTGGTTTTTGAGGCGTGTAGAAAGCACTGCCCGTCACCTTCCTGGCTGCAGGAAGTGAAGGGGCCTCTGTTCCCTGGAGAACCGAAAACCCTCGGGATTTTCGTGCCTGCCTTCAATGCAAACGTGCTGCGCCACCCCTTTCCCCCTCCACTGCCCTTCCCCTTTCTGGTTGCAGGGAATGGATGGGCCTCTGTTCCCTGGAGGACCAAAGACCCGTGGGATCTTCGTGCCTGCTTTCAATGCAACCCTGCTGCGCCACCCCTCCTCGTTCCTCGCCAACTCCACTCCCGATGTATGCTGCTCCGTTCTCAATATAAGATGTTCTGTACACGATATAAGCTGCCTGCTCCATACTCGATATAAGCTGAGTCTATATGAGCCTCGAAATTCACCGCCACCCTCCTTATTGCACATGTTGTTTCAACCTGCAGTCCTCTCTACCATCCTCTCTCTCTCTTGCTTCTCGCCTATGTTCCCCCCCTATTGCAAGCCATGGGAACAAGTGTGGTGCTTCCTAATTTGACCTGTTTGATTCAATCTGCATCAATTTGTGCCCTCGTCCTTTCACTCTCTCCTCTCTCCTCTCTGCTCTCTCCTTTCTCCTCTCTCCTCTCTCCCCCTCTGCTCTCTCCTTTCTCCTCTCTCCTCTCTGCTCTCTTCTCTCCTCTCCTCTCTCTGCTCTCTGCTCTCTTCTCTCTCCTCTCTGCTCTCTCCTTTCTCCTCTCTGCTCTTTCCTCTCTCCCCTCCCCTCTCTCCTCGTCCCTCTTGGTGGATCAGGGAGAGAAGTCCAGTGCAAGCACGTGGACAGTGCATCTGGATGAGGTGCATCCTGATTGGTCGCCGCTTCTACTGTACTCGCACTACGCACTGTTTGGAACTGGTGTCTGGTACACCATGGTGAGTTATGATTTTCTTTTTGTCATTCGCTGAATTATGCACTTCAATACAGAGACACACTCCTTTTTTTTTTCTTACCGCTATCGGATTCACCGTGGCGAGCTTTATTTTAGATATTGTGCTATTATTTTTGTTACGATCACATGCGGATGGTTGGTACGGTGCATCGCATCACCCAATACAGCCAACCTTGTTGCAACCTTCAACCCCTCCCAACACTCCACCATCCTCAAATACGCCATGCACAACCCAGTCCCTATTTGTTACCCAAACTTCTAACCGCCCTGCACAACCCAGTCCCAATATGTTACCTAGACTTTCAAGTCCTTCCTTCGCCTGCTCCCTCTCCTCCCTCCCTTCCCAAACTGCACTGCGTCCACCAGGCGGACCCCAAGAAGCGCAATTACATGATCAACAACGTTCGTCAGCCTGAAATGGACGGCATCCTTACAATGCAACTCGCTATGAACACAGTGAGGAAGTTCACTCGGAGTCTGAAGTACACCGGCATGCCCATGTTCCTGACCTTCACCCCGATGCATTACGATGTGAGGCTGAATGAGAGCATGCAGCATGCCAACTGCAGCGTCATCCAACGGCCGTTAACGTTCGAGCAAGTCGCCAATATGGAATGGGCAGTTGACGCAGTGAAGACTCGCAAGGCTCAACTTAAGGTAAGAACCAGGTGCATTCATTACAGTAGTCAATATTTTGAGAAACTACATATGAAATGAAAAAGGTACATTCTCACGTCCCATTTTTACAAAGGTTCAAATATCAAGGGATTTCATGGAGGTTTGGGTCAATGCTATTCAGTTTATATCCTCCAGTAACTTTTGTTTCATGGCAGGTATTTCGGCATGACCCGGAATTTAAAATCATAGACATCACCAACTTGGCCTTGTATCGAGCTGATGCTCATCTCCAATCCTATTTCGATGTCAAGGGAGGCATTGACTGCCTCCATTGGTGCATTCCTGGTGTACCCGACACTTGGGCCAACATAATATATTCCTATATGATGGGATATTTATAGCAGATTTCGACATTTTGTAATATGCTTTTCTATAACGCATCACCGCATCTTCAAACGGAAAGGCTCTATTGGTTGTGTTCTACATCCACATGATGATGGGATGGCAGTGGAATCTGGGTTAGCGATTTTGCAAAAGCTTTGTGTTATGCACGGCCAAATCGCATGACCACCCTTTCAGCAGCCGGATTTTCCAAATTGTTAGAAGAACAGAAGAACTGAAGGAAGCATGTAACACTTTCCAAAATTGTGTATTGTGAATAACAATAATATTTGTACCGAAGCAAAGGCTTCGCCTAACTGCTTCAGTACTTCCCCTCTTTCTGGTACGAAAGTGGGGGCAATGTGTTAGAAACTGAGAATGAATGACTAGATTGAGGCATAGGGGGGTACAAATAGCAACCCATACCCTCTACAGTACAACCTAACCTAGCTTGATCGTGTACACCTATAAACGTATACGATAAGCATACATTGACGCACCCCTATGGTCAGGGAAGGGGCAATACCTAGGAGATGAGAAACAACATAGGGCAACACCACCAGTCCAGCATCCATCACCACGTTCATGCGCCGCACCTTTTGGGTTGGAGGCATTGTAGTCCAATCCCTAGGCTTGCTCCAACACTCGCGCCACCAATGCCCGAGTTTCTTGCAATACTGCCATGCTCCTTCATGAGCATGACCACGGTTGTTGTTGGCGTGTCGTCCACGTGAAGGGCTCGTGCTTCTATTTGCATGCCCACGGTCATTTTATGGCAAGGTGTAGACAACGCCTTTCCTCAAGCCACACGTGAAGTGAGCCGAACTCGTTGTATCGTCTTACAAGTGTTAAGATTGAGGAGTAGGAATGGGTGATTAGGTCAAGGAAGGGAGATACAAACAAGGTGTCGAGAAGGTTTGTCTAGCCCTAAGGCTAGCCCCTATATAGCCTAAGGAAATATAAATATATATGCTTTGATACACCCCCATTGGCTAAGTGGGGGATAGCCAGAGCAAACAATGGTCACAAGACCAGTCAAGAGAAGCAACAAAGTAAAGCTCAAGGTGGATCTCAAGGTCACCACACATTCCAAGCAGAAGCAAATGGCCACAAAGCCAGTTCACATGTAGTGTCATAATAGTACAAGCAGTACAGTGATTACAGCCTAGCATGTGTAAACATGCAGGTACAAAAATATATAGCAGAGTACAACTAGTATAGGCAAAATTAAGAGACAAGCAGGTGAGGTAGAGTGGGCACAAGCCCAAGAGCAGAGCAGAACCGCTGATGATCACCAGGCCCTACGGCCTTGGAGAAGATACCGTCACCCCCCGGATATAAGCGCCACCCTAGGATAAGCGCCTGGCGCTTCTAATTGGCATATGGCGCTTATATCCCCTCCTCGATTATAAGCGCATACCCTAGAGTCGTACGGATTATAGCCGCATACCTGTACCTTACACATTATAACCGCCACTTTTTTAAATATTTTTTTTCTACAAACTTCACCAACCACATTAACAACTTATATTTTCATCTAATTAACTACAAAGTCAGTTTATCTACAGTTTTTTCTAATTACAGTTCTAAATCTACCTACGAGTCTCACAGGCTACAGCAATTTCTAGATCTACGTAATCTAGTCATCAGCTGCGGTAGGATCATCCGGGTCGGCCTCAGAGTCCGACTCTGGTTCTTCTACGTTGTTGCAGAAAAAACCATCAGCTGCAATGTCGACGTCGATGTCTATTTCGTCGCCCTCAAGCTCGTCGCGCCTGTGTTGCAGGCAGATCTTGTCCTGGGACCCATCCAGGGCGTTACTAATGCCACAGGTGAGGAAAGCCCGTTGAATCAAGTCCCTGGGCACGGCCTTCCAAGCCGCTGATATCCACTTGAGCGTTAGCTCGGGTGGTGGCTTCTTGATGTTGCCTGCCATAAAATTTAAACAATCAAAAGTCAGCCACCGCTACAAACTGATAAAGCAGCACATGCATGGCCTGCCTCTCTCACCTTTCTTTGTCAAGGTGTCGACCCCCTCGCTCTCGAACCACTCCTGGTAGAGCTGGCGAACGGATGCCTTGAAGGAGCGATTCACCGCGACGTCCAGAGGTTGAATCCCCGAGGTGCAGCCAGCTGGGATAACGGCAGGGACGATGTTCAGCTCCCCGAACTTCTTCTTCACCTCCGCAGTCAGGTGCCCGCGGTACGAATCCAAGACATCTGCTGTGAAACAAGTAAACAGGAATGGAATGACTAAGGAAAGATTGGGTACAAATACAACCCTAGAAACTCTGTACCCCATATGTGCTACCCCGCTATAGCCTACAGCAACTATGTCATATAAATCTGACACACCCCCATAGGCAAAGTGGGGGAGAACAAGGGGTCACAAGACCAGTCAAGTAAAGCAAAGCAGAGCAAGCTCAGGGTGGATCACAACGTCACCACACAGTCCGAGCACAAGAGCAGGGCCAGAGGCCAGTTCACATGCAGGAGTACATACATATATATATAAAGCTAGACAAGCAAGAGCAGGTATATATATGTCACAGTACAAGTAAAGTCAAGAGGAGAGCAAGTGAGGCAAGACAGGCACAAGACCCAGCTGGGTGCAAAAGCGCTGATGGTCACAAGGCGCGAGTGCCTTGGTGAACACATCAGCAGTGTTGGCCTCAGAGGCCACGTACGCAAGTCGGAACTGACCACGCTGCTGCAGCTCACGAGCAAGGAAGTAGCGGAGAGCAATGTGCTTCGTTCTGTGCTCCAAGCGCTGCTCTCGACACAAGGCCAGCATGGCCTTGTTGTCTACGTACAGCACTGGAGGAGAACGAGGCGGCTCTCCAAGGTCAGTCAGCAGGTAGGTGAGCGAGCGAAGCTTCTGTGCAGCCATGGCCCTGGCGTAGATCTCAGCCTCACAACTGGAGCCGAGAACCGAAGACGAGCGAGTAGACCGCCACGAGACAGAGCCGGAACCAAGGCTGAAGGTGTAACCCTGTGACGACCGCTGCGTAGCCTGGTCGTCAGCCCAAGAAGCGTCAGCGTGGCCGGTAAGGACCACTGGACTCCGCCCTCCAAGCACTAGCCCCATGCCCGACGTACTGCACAGGTAGCGCAATACCCTCTTCGCTGCAGCCATGTGCTCTGGTCTGTGTCTCCCAGGAGCAACATAGCGTGCAAGAATGCTCAGAGGGTATGCAAGGTCAGGTCGTGTGCAGGTCATCAGGTACATGAGGCAGCCAACAAGCTCTGCATACGGACCACTCGACTCTACGGACTCATCCGAAGGCAGAGCTGAGAGTGAGTGGCGAGTAGGCAGAGGAGTGGCCTGAGGCGAGGAGTACGTGAAGCCGAAGCGCTGAAGGACCTGCTGCACCATGTGTGACTAAGTCAAGGTAATGGTGCGGCGTGCTCTGTCCCGAGTGATTTGCAAGCCAAGGTAGCTGCGCAGTTCACCCAGGTCTGTGCACGTGTGTCTCTTCAGCAGCTCGGACTTCACGTAGGCGAGTCCAGCAGTGTCCGCTGTGGCAAAGACCAAGTCGTCGACGTACACGAGGATGTAGAACGGCGGCAGGGAAGTGTCGGTGCGAAGAAACAGCGACGGGTCAGCAGAAGAAGGAGCAAACCCAAGAGCCGCAAGCGTAGTCCTCAGTGTGTCGTGCCACTCACGCGGTGCCTGGCGGAGACCGTAGACTGGCCGTCGGAGGCTCCACTGGGTGCCAGGAGGGAAAGTCCCAGTGAAGCCAGGTGGACGGCGAAGCCAGATCTCCTCGTGCAGGCTACCCTGCAAGAACGCAGTGCTGAAGTCGAGAGAGTGAAGCTCGTAGTCGCGCTGAGCGGCTATGTGCAGCAGCACCCGAAGAGTAGTCATCTTCGGGGTGGGAGAGAAGGTCTGAAAGTAGTCAACTCCCTGCCGCTGACTGAAGCCACGAGCAACGTACCGTGCCTTGAAGACAGGTGGAGAGCCCGGCGGCCGCTTCACCCTGAAGATCCACATGCCACTGACGATGTTCGCCCCAGGAGGGGGAACCGCGTCAACGTAGGTGCCTGTGGACTTCCAGGAAGCCATCTCTGCATCCATAGCTGCCTGCCACTGAGAGGAGTAGGGACCCTCTACGGCCTCCGCGTAAGAACGCGGAGTCGGGATGTCTAGTGCATCCGGGTCTCCCTCAGGGGCAAGCAGTACAGACGCGAGATGAGGTGAAGCAGCCGCTAGACACTATAACTCCTCCTGCCTGTCCTCTAGGACGTCCGTGCCAAGAGCATACTCACCCCCGACGGACGGAGGACAAGCAGACGCAGACTCAGCAACAAGACTAGCAGCGTAGTCGAGACGACAGCGAGCAGCAAAGTCGACCAGCTCAGCGACTAGAGCAGACGTAGCAGTGGACTCAAAAGAGGGGTCAGTGACGACAGTAGCAAGCAGACGCGTGACAGTAGGACTGGCAGCACGAAGAGAGTCCGACTCAGGGTCGGCAAGCGCAGGAAGAGAGGACTCAAGAGGAGAAGGCAAAGGGGCACGCAGAGGAGCAGTTGACGGACGCAAAGACATCCGGTGCGTGCCAGGGACAGGAGGAGGACGCTGACGCGAACTGCGACCACTAGCGCGAGCAGCACGAACAGGCGACGCGGGACGAGACGCAGGCTCACGACGCTCAGCA